AATTAACAGCTGCGTCTGCAGATCCTTATATATTAAAACTGGCTGGCATTTTGGAAAAATATCCATGTTTGCATAATAAAGTGACCCTTCAGTCTGCCCTGATGTCTGCAATCATTCCGATGGGGTGAAACTGCACACAGAGCTGAGGCTTCCTGCCCGCCCTGTAAGCACTTAATCCTCTGCCCCTGAACAAATGATTGCTTCTCTCTGAAGCGCACAAAAAAATTATGTGTGCCGTAACATTTAATCCATCAGAGTGGCAGCCTGCACTTGGAAACCGCATTTCTCTCCTTCCTCTGGGACCTCACACACTCATGCAGAGCTGCACACTTCAGTCTTTTACTGAAGGCAGAACTTCTTTGGTAGCTTTAATGTAACATTCTGGCAAGCTTCAACCAAGAATAACCAAGAAGTACAGCCATGGCATTAAGTGATCCTACAATGACATACTTCATAACCCAACATACAGCACAAAGAAGTCATCTCCAAAGCTGTTCACCCTTGGTTTCTGTTACTTGTCAGCATACGATCATGTTTTAGAAGAATTTCACACTGACAGCTGCGCAGCTTCAACTGCCCTCTGCACCACGAGCCCTGCACAGCTTCAGGGAAACCAAGCAGAATCCACACGTCCCATTTGCCAACTGGTGTTTCTGAGTGCACTCAGCCTACTCAGCACTGCCTTCCTTTTCCAGTATTTGCTGCCTACTTGTGATCTTCAGAGAGGAAGGCCAACGACATTTCACTTCTGCTTCCCTTGCAAGCGGTTCTCTGCTTCTACTGTTCTACTTCTAACAATAAACAAAGTGAAAAAACGATACAAGTAAAGCTGAAGTAAGAGGGAGAATCACAAACAGGCTGGAAACAGGATGGCTCCTTAAAGCCACTGGAACAGCTCTGAACATCTAGCATGAAAAGGTCCTTTTTAAGGGTTCCTTTAAGCTTTTCCTCCCTTATCTCAGTGCATTAAACCCACGCACAAGATTGTGCTCTTCACTCATTACAAAAGGCAAACACTGCCACCAAACACTTCCTTTTGGGTAATAAAGTCAGGCTGCCCGTCCAAAGATTCCCCCTCAGCTTACTTCAAAATACTTAGGGTTCAACTACCCAGAAATATTTGGCAAAGCATAGGACAGAACCCGTGGCTTTGCAAGAACTAAGCGACAACATAGGATTTCAATCTAAAAAAATACAGATCTGCATCCTTCTATGAAGAACAAAATTGAGATTCCATTCAAAGGCAGGCTGCATTTAACAACATTTTCATACTCTTGTTCTGAGGATTCAAAGCAATGTACGTAAGCAGAGCCAAACAAGAATAACCTGCAATCAAAACCCAAGTATACAAAAGAATGCTAACAAAACTGTCCTAGAATTCACCTCAGACTGGAGATCAGTGCCAGCTGATGCCAGATCAGCATCAATGCCACAGAGGCCTGCACGCTCACATCTTTGTGTACTGCAGAACATTTCATCCACATGCTTTTATGAAAAGCCAGCTCCTGTCCCACTGACAAATGAACCTCCTGACAGGTAACTCCATCCATAATTAGAGACAGCAACTGTGTCATCCTACTGTCCTTACTGCTTCAGCATGTGCAGGACTGGCATTTCATTCAGGCAATTCCTGCATACAGCTTCACAGTCCCAGAGCCTGTCCTCGATACCACTGCAGCGATTTCATGGACACCTACACTCCGACCTGCACAAAGCCAGGAGTTAACAGTCTACCCAGCACAGAAATCAGAAGGTTTCTCCATTAAGGATTCTTCCTTGGAAGAGTAGGACTCACCCCCACTGCAGTGGCTTTCCACTTCTGTGCACACTTAGAGGCATCAGTTATCAGCATGTTAGGGCAGCTGGCAGGGAAGACGGCACTGCGCTGCTGAGATGATGGCCAGCTGTGATGTTTCCAGGAAACCTCCGGTTGGTAAAGAGAATCAGAATATCAGGAGTTGGAAAGGACCTTGAATGATCTTGTCCAATCCTGCTGCCGGAGCAGGAACACCTCAACCAGGTCACGCAGGAAAACATCCAGAACATCTCCAGAGGAGACCCCACAACCTGATTAAACTTTAAACATAGCAGACCAACCCCCTGCAGCAAGATATTTAATGGGCAACAACTTTGAGAGATAAGGAATAACTTCACGGACTGATTAAGACATTGTAGAGCACAGAATCTGAGTTTGTGGATTTTATGACTCTATAAAGGGAATTCTTCAGGCAAAGCACGGAGAACGTTTACTGTTCTTAATTTACAATAAAAGGACAACAGATTCCCACGACTTAAGGCTTCCAGAGCTCCTTTCATTGAAAGAAAAAAGACAGTATGCAGCTATGTACAGAACTCAACATAACTATTTCCCAACATTCACTTGCTTATTACCTAAAGGAGTGCATCCCAGAGAAAACTAAGCTTTTCTCCCTTTATACATCAAATTAAAGAGTAAGCACAATGCATTTCTCCCCGTGACCACAGCAGTGACACTGCTCAGACAAGCAGCTCAGGCTGAGGAAAAGAGCCCTGCAGATGCTGCTGTACACATTACCACGTACTGGTAATGTGTACATGGAAAAAAAAAATAAACAACTCTTATGTTCTTGCAAACAGAAGAGTAACACTGATGTGTCTGTGGACGTTCTGCAATGGAAGAGCCATTCCCAAGAAACCAGGTCCTCTGGCAGAGGGAATCCCAATTCCGTGCCACATAACTAAGCTTTTACTCAACACAGTGCACAGTTGCCTGTGTTGCACGTGGAAAACCTAGAGGTAGTTTGAGGCCTTTTGTGATTGCCTTTCAAAATCCCTTCTCCTGGCAGACTTTTCTTCCCCCTCTGCAAGGATTTAATCTAGACAGAAATAGAGGATTGCTTACTTCAGTTTTAGGTTTAGATGAGGAAGCTATCGGAAAAAGCTCGCTGTGAGTCACAATGTGAAAGTTGTCCCTGGTCCCAAAAGGGATATTGAGGCTGCTGCTACTGGGAAAGAAGAAAATAAAAATTTAAAAACAAGAAAGAAAAAAAACAAAGAAAAGTCTTTATAGAAATAACTACAAAGTCTGCCTCAGAGGGCCGCAGGCTCATAAAGCTCTTCTATCCCACTCCTCATTTCCCAGCCCCAAAAATACACGACAATAGGACAGAGGGAAAGAGATGAATAACTGTCTGCATGCCTTCTTGGAAGGATCTGAGAAGCCTGCTGTGCTCGGTCCTTAGCTGGTGCAGAACATCCTCCAGAGGAAGACAAGCAGGGCAGTGCTCACCCCACCGCCCTGCAGCAAGGCTCCCTGCCCCAGCAGTGCAGCTCAGGACAGCTCGGGGCTGCCCAGACCCTGCAGCTCAGAGCAGCCCCACAGCTCAGGCCATCCTGGCTCCTGGCAGCAGAGCCCTACAGCCCAACATGCACCAGAGCACAGGCTGGGAGCTGCAGAGCTTCCCAATGCTGCACCTGAGCTGGCCTTCACAAAACTGACAGCCTGGTCTACCACCAAGCTTGCACAACACACAGGACCTGTGTCACAGGACCGCAGACACAGGTGTAAAGATGGAAGAGCCTGCACTGCCACTCAGCTGTCCTGCTCAGCACAGGAAGCCAGGCTCCAACCCAGGACACGTGCAATACCTCTCAGGTTCCATTTCTGCTTTCTGAGCAATTGAAGCAAATCTGAACTTTCCTAAAACACACATTGGTTAAAGCAAGGTAACATCCCACAATTATCAAAAGAAATTGCTTTCTCCTGGGCCCCACCTGGAAGCCTGGCACTCACAGGACACAGCTTCGCACCGCCCCCAGGGCTGCCAAAGCAGCTGAGCCTCAGGGCTTCCACCCACTGCTCACAGCCCACGGGGCTCCTTCCAGCCTAAGCAGAAGGGAGCAGCTGACCTTGGGGACAAAAGAGTCACATCCATCACACGGGCAGCAAGAACAGAGCAAAGGCCCATGCAGCTGCTCTTCTACACACCACAAGGTCACTCAGCAGCCACGCAGACAGAAAGCTCTGCTGCAGGGCTGTCACCCAGACTGCATGACTCAGAGCAGGGCTAAAGCCTGCAACCCCTGGCACTCACCACTTCTCCCTCAAACCCTCCCTGCAAACTCAGGTCAGCACGCCCCGGCTGTGTGCACGATGGGCGCAGCGAAGCAGCAGAACTGCACAACTTCTGCAAGCATAGAAGGAGAGTCTGCCAGGGCAATGTGTATGCGAGGGGGCCCTGGGTAGTGCACTGTAAAACAGATTAAGTCATCTCTAAACATCTGTTAACACTGCTGTACACCATTTACAAACTTTACTTTAACATAAATAGCAATATTTTTCCACATTCCTAATAAGAGATTATACTAGCTTCTTGTTTACCAAATATTTCAATGGGTTTTGTGCTTGGTTTCAATGCCTCTCAGTAAACGTATGAGAAGAATAGGAAGGGAGGAAAGCAAACAGGCAGACAGGTGATTAAGGTTAAAAGAAAAAAAACAAAACAAAACAAGAGAAAACTGCAGAAAGCAGAAAGAAAACGGCCACAAAGCAGAGATTTATCACCTGTCCCAAGAATAAATCTCTGGGTCTCAGAGCATGCCCAGAGCAAACGTGACGCAACCCTGTGAACTCCAGTGCAGAACACTCCCACTAACAGAACAGAAGCCATCGGGGCAGCCAGCCTTACAGAAGAGGTCACAGCCAGGCCTGGGAACTGCTTAAGAAAAGAAAACACCCTAAACTTCAGCTCACTGCTTTGCTAAATGCACAAATGTGTCTCTTTTGAACCCAGCTCAAAGCTGATCTCTGCGGAAGGACGCCTGAGTGCACTAAAATAGCACTGCCCAGCTGCAGCACTGACATTTGGAGCGCAGCAGGCAGAGCAGCAAGGCACCGGGAGCAGCTCCTCAGCTCTGCACTGCGAAGCTCACAAAGACAGCCGAGGACATCGAGGGAGGAACACACCAATGAGCACGGCAGGGCAGCGCAGGAGGCTTCGCTGTGAGCAGTAAGTAGCAACCTGCTGCCATTAATGCTGTACTTATGGAGCTTTATGTGATGAGGTGATCGCAAAGGCTGTGTTCTGTACTTATATTTAACTGCTGAAAAGCTGAAAAATATTCCCCAGTGAAAGATGCTTTTGTGACAGATTTCTGTACTTGATCAACACTCCTCAACTTTTTTGTTAAACTTCTAAACAAGTTGTGGTTTTTTTTTAATCGACAATGGAAAATCATCAAGGTGTAATACAAACCAGAACAAATAAATCCCTTAAAACACAAAGGAACTGTAAATAAATGCAAGAGATGAAGGCAGCCCCTGTCAGTGCAGGGCACTGCAGCAAGCGGAGCTGCTGTGTGTGGGGAGGGACTGCGGGGCACCACTGAAGGAAGTGGCCACATATCTCCTCAGCAACTGCTTCTATTTTTATTGAGCTGGTGTCTTTGGCCGTAATAATAAAGCAGTACATGTGAAATCTGAGGAAAACATCCCCACACCAGGTGAAATCCAAAGAGATCAGCAGCCCATGGCAGGGGGTTGAAACTAGACGATCATTATGGTCCTTTTCAACCCAGACCATTCTATGATTCTGTTGTGACCCCAGAGCTTCTTCTGGAGCAGAATCATTGGGGCAAACCAGGCTGCTCATACACAAAGCAAAGCTGGAATGGGAAGTTTTAGAACCAGCACTCATTGATTCCTTTGCTAAACTACTCTGTTGGTCCTCAAACTAACATACTGATCCCTGCTGCTAAGCACACCAGCCTGTATCACCAGGCAGTAATGCAGGCGCTGATCTTTCAGTGCTAAAAGATTGAAGAGACAAAAGCAGAATGAAAATTTCAACTTCTTGTTAGGATAATGAGGCTGTCAGATTTCACACAGCACAGCACAGCGACCCTCAGACAAGAAGAAATGAAGCAGTTCCTGGTTCCACCTTTGAGGAGTCCTTGCTCTGCAACCAAAGGAGCTCACGCTGCCTCCAGAAAGCTTGCTATTGTAACGGCAAAGCAAACGAGCTTATCTACAACTGCTCCTCACACCCACTGGCTCTCCTCACAGGCTTTGTCCTTCAGAAATTAACCACAAATGCCAAGAAAGCATCACACACAAATCAACCGCCTGTTCCAGTTTTGGTCAGGAGAACCTGTTGGTGCTGCAGGCACCACGCAGTGCCCACAGGGCACCACTCCCCCCGCGCTGCAAAGGGCTGCAGGCAGACACAGCACCCCCAGGAGCACTGCCCACGGCAGGGAGATCCCTGTGAGTGTGCTGTCAGTGATGCTGAGCAGGACAGTGGCAGCAGGGCGGCTGCGCAGGGCTGGTGTGAGATGCTCATGGGAGGGAATGGCGGGCAGCACCCAGAGCAGACAGGTCCAGGCCTTGGCACATGATCTGAAAAGAACCCCAAGGGCTTTCTGAGCTGGAGGTGGTCCAGGCCCAGCATTTGGCTTCATTTATCCCACGCTCAGGAAGTAAAGAGCTTGTAAGGAAGACTGAAGACCATGACAAAATACCTCCACCAATAACTGACTCTTACCTCCTCACTAGAATATTCCAAATCTTGCTTTTTTTGGACCAAAAAGGGAGAAGCACAGCTACAATGGACAGAGTTGGATGCCTGCTCTCCCCATGCTGAGCTCAGCGCTGGACAGACCCACTCTGCCCCACACCAGCCTGCAGAGGTCCCAGAAGCGAGGAAGGCACTGAGACCCTCTGAAAGCCACTGCCATGCTCAGGAGAGCCCCTTTCTTTGAGCCAAGTCCGAGCATACCCCACAGGCTGCTATCTCTATTAGTTGCTTACTACCTTTTGCTACAGGAGCACCACTGAAGTTTCTCTGCCACTCTGTGCCCAGCATTGCACTGAGCACACGGCCAGGCTCTGCTCCAAGGGCCGCACACAGACCTTGCTGCAGAGCACACCTCCATCAGGGCTCTTCTATCAGCCCTCTCTCAAAACATCAGAGAGAAGCTTGGCATGTTGTTCCTCCCTGATAAATGCCATTTAGCAGTTCAGAAAAGAGTTCTGGAGAAAATGACCACCATCAATCTTCTCTGACCCAGAAGCTGCATTGCATGTCTATCAAACAGCAGCATTAATTTCCATAAATAGCTGAAAATGTTCACTTAATACTGCAAAATACACTCAAGACAACAAAAACCCACTCCAGTATGAGCGAGTGCCTGTCAGAGAGAGCTGGATGCCCGACCAGGTGAGAAAAAGCACAGGAAACTTTTACCAGGAACGCCAACAACGTGACGTGAGCAGCAGAGCCACAAGCCTCGAGCTGCGTGCATACAGTGATGGTCCAGGACAAACACAGCTGCTCCCACCACGGCTCTGCTCCGGAGCAATGCTGAGGGCCTGCTGACAGATTGCACAGGGCAGCACCGTGATGACAGCTCTAACCGCCGTGCTTCCTGCCCAGCAGATCGCCCTGCTGGAGGACAGGCCCTGTGCTAACGATGGAAGGCTCTCGAGGCCCTTAGCACCTGCACTAAAAGCACCCAGCAGTTCAATGCAGAAAGGTAAGGGCATGCCACAGGTGTGGAAAGGTTTAGTGTCTGTCTTGGACTTTGGCCTCTTTCTCAGGCACAGACAGCTGGCAAATCTGCTGCCATCAGAAGTGATATCTTCATGTCTAGTCTCCTCCTCTAGAGACAGTAGACAAAGCTACAACAGCCACATCTCTGAGCACTGACCACATACTCCTGAAATAATCCTTTGTAGTATGTTATGTTAGCATGAGAACTACTTTGCAGACTTCCCAAGCCATTTAGTACCTGCTGCTGCCAGGCCCAAGAACCAAACCTCCCACATACGTTACTTAGCAAACCCAGCAGGCAAGGAACAACTCTCAAGCACACAACGTGGGGAGAGAAGGTCCTGCTCAGACAGCCTTGCAGGACAGACAGGACACACAGCAGACAGCAGTGGGAAGAGAACAGCTTTCAGACGGTAGGTTACCGCTCTAAATAAGAATGCCGTTTGTTGGTGGTGCTCCCCCCCGAATGAGGATACACGGGAGAAGCAGAGATCCTCCTCCTAGCAGTATCACCCCAAACCTCACCTCTTACTAACTCACAATCCTAGCACACCCACTCACCTGGCAGCTCTGTTCTTACAGCCACTCACCACACCAACTTCAGCCTTGAAAAATTCAGCCAAACAGAAACAAGTGCCTTGACTTGAGAAAAGCCTGAAAATAAGAGAGCAGGCCAGCCTGTGGGAAGACAAGAGGCAGAGATGAACTGCAGCTCTGGGCACATTACAGGCTCGTTATTCCACTTATCAAAGCAAGTTCCAAAACAGCCACAAAGTCTGTCAACCTTTATAACCTCCTCCAGAGACACAAAGAAAACAACACACCAAGGGAAACTTTTACCTATGTGAAATAAAGTTTCCATTTCCAGTTACTGCTAGGCTGAATTGGGGTTCTACCTGCTACACAGAGGCACCAGCTATTGGCTCTCCATTGCAGCAGTAAGGAAATGATTCATCTTCCAGCAAACAGGATGTTTCTCTCCCCCTACTCTGCAGCACACGTTTTCCAGTTGCCCAGGTTTTCATGTGCCCACGAAGCAGCAATATGTACCTGTCTGTTCAGGCTTCCCTACAGCGGGTAATTTACCCTGCCAAAGAGAAGCAGACAGCAGATGTGATTTCTTGGAGTCTCCCCGGGGATGCTCTAAAATTTGAGCCTGAATGTCTTGGGAGGGCACTCTCACTTCTAACTCATGCTAATATAGACACAACATGGTATGCTGTGTTACTAAAAGCTTAGAGCAAACTGTGCTAGCTGCACAGAAGGCTCTCCCTCAAGAAAGGATCAGAAAATACTATTAGTATTTTAGCATCTATTAGTTATTCCCAGGCTTGACTAATAAAGCATGTTTGCAATGACCATATTCAAAACACTTTTACAAGGAACTTTTATATCTGTCATCTGCTTCCAGGTAAGTCAGTGCTAAAACACACACGAGTTGTTCAGGGTTAATGAGGTGCTTTTGCAGTCACTGAACACTGTGGCTTCCCAGCATGTAGGCTCAACTAAAAAACACAGGACAGGATTTGAGCAAAACAGATGGACCCAAATCTTGAAGAAACGACAGAAGCCCAAAACAGCAGCATGCCCCTGAATACCAGCACTGAGATGGCACCACCTGGAAAGCATTTACTGTGCTGGAAACAATAATGTGGTTTCTGAGAAGTACGCCAAGTTTACATTGAAATAAGATTAGAAATCCTGCACTGATTAGTAGAAAGCACAGTTGTGTGTTATCTTACTGAGATAATATTTCTTCTGCTTCTAGGATCAAAGACATTGTAAGATGTTCAATTCCAGCACAAACTCCTCGGGAAGCAGCTGCAGTAACAGCACAGTAATAACAAAGACAGTCATTCCCCTGATCTACTGCCTGATTTTCGTGGTAGGGCTGCTGCTGAATGGCGTGGCAGCATGGATCTTCCTGTGCATCTCCAGCGAGAAGAGTTTTATCGTCTATCTCAAAAACATCGTTGTCGCAGATCTCCTGATGAGTTTGACGTTTCCTTTCAAAATTCTCGCCGATTCGGAAATTGCACCTCCACAGCTCAACACATTTGTGTGCAGGTACTCTGCTGTTGTTTTTTATGCAAACATGTATATCGGAATAACGTTTTTTGGCCTCATCGGTTTTGACAGGTACTACAAAATCGTGAAGCCTTTATTCACCTCCTTTGTCCACACGGCTCACTACAGTAAGGTTATCTCTGTCATCATATGGCTATTGATTATGTTTATAACGCTGCCAAATATGATTTTAACTAACGAAATCCCTAAAGCAAATTATTCCAGAACATGCATCGGTCTTAAAAGCGAACTTGGCAAACAGTGGCACAAGGTGTCCAGTTATATTTGTACAGGGATTTTCTGGATTGTTTTCCTCCTACTCATCATTTTTTACACTTCAATCTCAAAAAAAATATACAGCTCCTACAAGAAATTCAGACGGAACTCAGAGTTCACTAAGAGGAAAACCAGCCGTAATATATTCACCATCATGTTCGTGTTTGTCCTCTGCTTTGTGCCGTACCACTTCTGCCGGATCCCGTACACCCTGAGCCAGACCAGCTCACAGTTCGACTGCCGCTCGCAGAGAGCTCTGTTCCACGCCAAGGAGTTCACTCTGCTGTTATCTGCTGCCAACGTCTGCCTCGACCCCATTATTTATTTTTTCCTCTGCCAACCTTTTAGAGAAAGGCTGTATCAAAAACTGCACCTCAAGCTGAAAACATCAGGTGAGGCTGAAATCACCAAATCGAGGAGATCAAACACGCTTCAGGAAAGCGTGAACATTCTGTAAGTTCAGGTCTGCAGAATAACGCAGGCTTGAAAGTTGCCCCAGAATGCAAACACTGACACTGCAGAAAGAAACTGAACAGGTGATGACCAGCAATAAACCGAAAAAGGTTTCAAGCACAAAATACCAAGCAATGTTTCTCTCTATAAAAAGTCTATTGCATGCTGTCAGTGTATTTACTACGTGGTATTTCAGCTGACTATGACTGCACTGAGGTGCATTGTGACCTACCTGGATCTCAGAAAAGAGTAACTGGAACAAAACATTCTGGAGTGCCAGGCCACAGTTCTGAAAGAATTATCCCAGCCTTGAAGTGCCCTCATTCCTCATGAAGCCAGGCAGGACACATCTGAGGAGCAGCAGGGCAGCCCAAAGGGCCTGCGAACAACAGATCATCCCAGCTCAACCGGAGCAGACCCCCTGAGGAAACACGATCAGCTCAGCTGGGCCTCCTGCCTCAGCCTCTGCCACGGAGAGCTCTCTGTGCATTCACCAACTCAGACAGCAAAGCCGTTGATGAAGTGCTCAAACACTTTAATGACCTGCCAAAGAAAAGGCAGCTCTGTGCGTGTGTTGTATATGTATATACACATATATATACATATAATGTGTATTTATATATATAGGCAGTTGTGTATGTGTATATATATATATATATATGTATACATGAGGGAGTGATCAAATCCTCAAAGATTTACACAAAGCCTGAAAAAAAAAAAAGCAAAACATAACCAACTGGTGCAACTTACAAAAATATTTTGACTTTCTTAAGCAAATTGTTCTGCAAGTTTAGGGAATTAGACAACATGACTATTCGTCATCCTAAGGCATCAAGGAGTCAGAGAACTTCTAAGATATAATGTTCTATTTAAGAAAATGTATAAAGAGGGACCCTTCCACAAGCTGGTAAGCACTGTGCCGTACTGTTCAGGGCTTTTTCACAAAGCATGGCATACACCAAACTCACGCACACCCTCTCTGCTGCAGGAGGTAGGAACAGTTCAGGAGCAGTGCAGGAACTGGAAGGTCATACACTGAAATCCAGAAGGAACGGTTTTCCTGTGCTTTTGGCACTATGGTAAAACACATAACTAGGTACAGAAGTAACAGCTGAAACACCAACCTTCCACATGCAACTGTAATCTTCTTTTAGTGATATTTTTCAGTGCAGCCTTTTTTTTTTCCCCCCCAATCATCATAAAGGGAAACTGTACCAATGCATTAAGCATCCACAAAAGCTTTCCAGAAATGACTATGGAAGCTCTCATTTTGCATAACAAAGTAGTTACAGGAACAGAAATAACACCTATTACCCTTCTGCCACTGTGTGTTACTTTAACCCAAACAGGTAGTGTCTCAGGGTGAATACTTTGTTTAAATACACTGTCTTTGTAAGTTTTCCAAGGCTGTGGGCAACTTCTCTTGGTCTGACATCACCAACCTGCAGTAACAGTACACCACCATCCTTGACCACGAACTCCCTGACTCGCACCAAAGCTTTGCAGGCTCTTCCTTTCAAGCAAGAGAAATCATTTGAAAGGGAAGGGAATCTTTGGATTTGTAGGTGACTTATAATTGATGGCAAAAACGTTTGGTTCCTTATATGAGATGGATTTTATTTGCCTACATAAACCTAAGTAATTGCATATGTCAAAATACAGCGGCACACAGTGATGAAATCCATGTGTGCAATTCACATTTGTATAACTTTTTTTTATTACTTTGCAAGCTTTGGGGGGAAAAAAACCCAAAAACTATTTCTACTGAAGAATTGTCTCTGTATCCTACCAGTTTACCAACACTACAATGACAAAAATCTACACACAGCACCTCAGATGAAAGCATGCTGATGCCATACATTGTTTCCAGAGCAACACTGAATTCCGAGCTTCTGATGAGTTTCAATTAAAAAACAAAAAACAACTCCCTCCAGTAACTTCACTGCTCAGGAAACATTTTGAGACCACTGACCCTACAGCAATCCAGTACTCGGGGAGCCACAAGTCTCAAGGAACTCCATTATCCAGCCAAGCTTCTGCTCCACGTTGCCAACCTTGCTCTGCTGTATAAACCAGGATGGAAAGGTACACTGATAAGTTAATTGTGACACTTTTCCCAGCACACCATGTCTCAGATAACCCTGGCAAGCAATTCAGACACCCAAGTCCTGTAGTCCCACTAGGAACCAGCTCTTGCCCTGCCCGCATACTTCCCTAAAATTGTTGCAGTGAAATTCATGGGTAACTGAGGCTAAATCAGGTTCCCATTTGAGGGGTTATGCTTAGCAAACGGAAATCCTTCCTCCAAGCACTATTTAAGGAGAAAAAGTTCATTACACAACATTCTCAACATACAAAAAATCCCATGTGGGCTGAAACAAGCAATGTGGCTCCTAGAGGTTAATTGTGCAAGACGCCATCTCCAGTAATGATTGATCTCTACTGCAAACAACAAGAACATCTCACCCAAGGGGAGTCTGATGCCACTTGTTGGTACACAGCAGACCTTGTAGTCACAGCCAGCAGATGCAGCAAGGGCTACACGTTACAGCTGCCAGCTGCAAGCCATGGCACAGCAGGGCAGGCCTAGCGCTCCTGACAGAAGGCTCCGAGGGGCCCAGGGAGCTGCTGGCTGCTGCACTGCCCGCATGGTGCGCCTCGCTCTGCCACCCGAGCTCTCCCAGCACACCCAGGCCCTGCTGAGCTCACACCACATCACAGCCAACAGCTCGGGACCCCTCAGAAGGGGCCAGCGATGCACACACTGCTGGGCACATCAGCTCTCCCCGTGTGCGTAAATAGAAATGCCAGCAACTCTTCTCTTCATCACAAAGAGCTATTTCTGCACAGAACTCGTAACAACAACCCTTGTGCCAAGTACACCTACATTTTCCACTTACAATGCAGACCTATTATAGTGGGATAAAACCTTTTAATCTGTTAACGAAAGCCACAGAAATCTTTAAAAGCAGACGGTGGATTTGTTTGCACGTGTTTGGGCACAGAGCGTGTGAGTGGGGCACAGGATGGGGCAGAGGGCGCAGATCACTCCCCAGGGATGCACTCAGTGCTCACCTCACGGCCCCGCACAGGAAGAGGGAAAATCCCTCAGGACTGATTTGCATCATCTGCTCACCACCGTGCCTCGGAACGGCTCCAACTGCTTCTCTGAGTCGAAAAGCTGAGAGAAAACTGACTCTTTGAGAGGGCTGTCTGCTATCATCACGCAAATGACAGAAAATCACAAAAAAGCCAGTGCTTCCCCTGTATTGTGCCCAGCTGCAAGTTCTGCAGTCAGCACACACTGACTTACACATCTGCAGGCACACCAAGCTCGCTGAAGACATCAGAAGAGAGGTGAACCCAAACTCTCAGCAGCACAGATCCAGGCCCGGCCCAGCCTCACAAGCATGAAATACCAACACAGGTCCCACTGGACCCTGCCCTGAGGAGCGCACTGTGAACGAGCCCATGGCAGCCCGCGGAGAGGCAGAAAGCACAGGCAGCTCCCCAGGGGCCAGCCCCAGATGGGCCAAAGGCATCCCTCAGTGCAGCGTCCCCACACCCAGAGCCAGGAATGGGCCGAGGGCTGTCACAGGGCACAGTGTGTGCAGACCCTCACCACTGCCCTCACACTGCGCCTCCGCCACAGAGCCCCACAGCTCCAGAGCACACCAGCCCGCTCCCACCCACGGCAGCTCACAGCCCTTCCCTCCCTCCGGCCTCTCTCCATCCCAGTCTGCACAACAAAGCTGGCCTGTATGGGAGATGCACAGAAAACAGACCAAACTCTGCATTTCAAGTTAAAAAGTAAGTGGTACCGCGCAGCTTAGCCTTGCACGATGAGCACAACAGCATAACATCAGCCCACATCTGCTCAAAGCTGACCAAAGGAGCACTCCAGTTTAAGAAGTTTTGCAAACATCTCAACAAATATGGTCTGAACTTTCAGCCTATGACTAAATCTAAAACCAGACATTCTTAACTTGGTTTTTCACATGGCTCTGGTGCACAGTATGTAAATTCCTGAGGATTCTCAAGTACCAGGGCACTAACAAGACAGGTTTCAGTGCCAATATTTTAGTAGTGCCTGGCAAACCTCTAAAGGTTTTAACTCCTAATAGAAGTACCTCCCCCCCCAGGTCACACGGTGCTCCCCCAGCTGCCCCCACTGGGCTCCACATCCCCGTGCATCCCCTGCCTGCACTGTAGGAAGGGAACAACCACAGCACCAGAGGGCAGCTCCACGGGGGCTCACATCCTGCTGTCACTTCTCCAGGTAACTTTCATGTGCCTTGGTTGCTTGAACGCTGGTTTTAATTGCGTCAGCCAGAGCATTTAAAAACCACAGACATGTTAAAAAAAACCAGCAGAGACAGCAAGGGGAAAACATTAACCTGCTCTTGCACCATGAGAAAACATGCTGAGAGACACCGAATGCTAACAGACTGCTGCTCCGGATCCTCCCAGGGCCCTAAGACAGGTATGTGCTTGTCAGTCCTTGTCTGCTTCCCTCTGCCTACACCTAGGTAAACCCAGGGCTTGAAGTCCAGCCGTGCAGAGTGCAGGCACAGCAGGCCCAGGAGCCCAGCAGGGCAGCTGTCAGCAGCACCCAGCACAGCGCGCACATCGGAGCCAGGCAGCGCTGCCTGTGCAGGGGGACGCCAGCCCTGAGCCTGGGCTGGGCAGCACTGCCTGTGCCCAAACCCACTGTGAAAGGGTACATCTGCAAGACAGCAGAGGCCAACTAGAAAGGCAATGCCTTTCTAGGCATTTTAAACCACTCTACAAGTATCTGCAGTCAATCGTATTTACTGAAACACAAATTACGTTCATCTGGATATGTGATTTACAGAGAAAGCAAGTGTGAAAATGCAGCACTTCACTTGTGCATTAGACAATCAGAATAATGTAGTGCTATAAAAACTGATGCAGATTTAGGCTATTTGAGGTGCCCTTCATCCCAAGGAACTCTAGTGTACCTCCCGTGTAGCTGACACTGTGCTGCAGTCCATCAGCATAGCAAACAAAAAAGTGTGGTTGCCGAGTAGCAGATTTAGTTAAAATAGCACAGTTTCTACTTTCCTTCCCTCTAATTTCTAGTGAAGCCTAAAAACAAGGCAAACAAAGTTATTTGATAGCAGCTTTTTCCAAAACATGCCTTTTTTTAAAAGGCTTGATTTAAATCTGCAATTCCTTTATCCTCTGCTCAGGTGAAAGAGACAGCAAAAATGTAGAACTGAGAACTGCCCGGCCATCCAGCCAGCGCATTGCACATTGGCTTGACAGGGCACTAACCTCAAAACTTCTAATATACTTTCCTAAAGCGAGATTGCTACAACATTACCCTTCATTTTTAAACACAGCTTCACCTGCCCTAAAGCTGCAAAGTTTCACGCGACCGTCTTTAACCAGACGCTTAACCTGAAGCAGTTTCATAGCTTTTGTGGGTTTGCTTTTTTTCCTGAGCCTTGCATGCAACCTGAAAGACTGCTCTTGCGGAAACACTGCTGAGAAGTCTATATGCTTCCAAGAACAAATCCTATGCATTCCCAAACATTTCTGACAGGAGAAAAAAGCTCTCTCAAACATTTGTGAAGCAGGATGAGAAAAACGCATATTTTGTCCTGGCTGCATCTTCTCATGAAATCACACACACAAAACTCTCAGAGAACAATGAATATTGCTCAGAAAAGCTGATGTCTTCTCGGCTGTTTCTCGTAGGTTCTTGATCTCTCCAGCCAGCAAAGCACACAAGAAGCTCACAATGCCAAACAACGCTTCACAATGCTACATCAAAACAGAACTAGAACCTTTCACCTATTTTTACTACTTGATCTTTCTTACGGGTTTCCTGGGGAGCTGTTTTGCGCTGTGGGCATTCACACGAAAAGGTCAGAAGCAGAAGTGTATGAGCATCTACTTAACCAACCTCCTCACTGCAGACTTCTTGCTGACTTTGGCGTTGCCAGTAAAGATAGCAGTTGACCTAGGCGTTGCGCCCTGGAAACTGCAGATATTCCACTGCCAAGTGACAGCCTGTCTCATCTACCTGAACATGTATTTATCAATTATATTCCTGGGATTTGTAAGCATGGATCGTTACCTTCAGCTCATGCACAGCTCTAAGATCTATCGCATTCAAGAGCCTGGATTTGCCAAGGTTTTGTCTGCAGTCGTATGGACAATGGTTCTCCTTATAACAGTGCCTAACATGGCTATTCCAATAAAAACCATTGAAGAAAGACCTAACGCAAGGTGCATCGATCTCAAAACAAAATTTGGGAGAGACTGGCACGTGTTTACTAACTTCGTGTGCACAGCAATATTCCTGAATTTTTCAGCCCTGATACTCATTTCCAATTTCCTCGTTGTCAGACAGCTCTACCAAAACAAATACAGCGAGAGCTACCCCAATGTGAAGAAAGCCCTGGTGAGCATACTGCTGCTGACAGCAGCCTACCTGCTGTGCTTCCTTCCCTACCACGTCGTTCGCATCCCTTACACTCTGAGCCAGAGTGACACCATAACCAGCTGCTCTCTGAAGCAAACTCTCTTTCAAGCGAAAGAATCTACCTTGCTCTTTGCAGTATCAAACCTCTGTTTTGACCCAATTCTGTATTATCGTCTTTCCAGTGTATTCAGACTGAAAGTTAATGAGGCTTTTGTGGCACCCAAACAGGCAAAGGCTTCCACAGACGAAGAGGCACAGCACCAAAGCGAGCAGCGGGTGCAAATGTACTGATTCTAAAGTACCCAGAAAGGATGTGCAAACACATAACCTGAACAGCCGTTGTGCAACTGGAAACAGCTGCTACCACCAACATTACCACTGGATGGATGAGAAGACTCACATCACCAAACCAGCAAAGCACTCGGCGTCGCTTTCTGGAAATACTGCAGCTATCAGTGCCAACCTATGAACAGTCAGCAATAATGTGTAGTAAAGCTCGTTGAGACACACCCAAATATACATTCTTAGTATTTATGGTAAATACTTTGGGCTCTCCCTAAGTAAAATATTGTATTCTTAACAGATTGAAGAGCTTGGTGGAATGAAGTAAAGATTTGTTTCCAAATAGCAGCTCATGGCCTGCAAAGCTTCTCACAGACACAATTAACCCAAAGGCATTTTAAAGGGCATTACTTAATCTAGAACGCAGTGTTAAGCTGCACTGATTAACAAACTACTGCATCTGCTTACATCTCACCCGTAATTCCCATAAATAAACCTTCTGTTCTTGTCAAGTTCCACTGCCCTCCTGTGATGCTACTGCGCTGAACTTAAAAACCAGCAACATGTGAGTACAGAAGATTCAAGGCAACTGTAAAATGAGAATAAAGAGTAAGCAGAAATACTCACTGTGTGGTCTTTGCTTGTATTTATAAAAATGTATAAAGCAGTAACTAAAAGCATTTATGTATATATGTATACACACACACTATTATTTTTATTTATTTTTTACAAGCACTTCCACAAATAACGTATTTATAGAATAGATGATAATCACAGTGAAAAAACAATTTGCTCAGGCAAAGTCAAACTGCCAGGATTAACTCCATCTGACCAAAACTTCGGCAGAAACAAAAATAACTAACTTACATGGTTCAAGACATAAATCAGACTTCAAGCAAGCACTCAAAACCGGCCTGAAAAGAAACAGCTGATTCAATATTCTCATAAAAACAAATCACCTGTAGCAACCCAAAATTAAAGCAAGGAAGACGGGAGGCCAGGAGAAATCACATCACACACCAGCTGACACCTCCTGTACTGGTAGGATTCAACACTGCTTAACAATTACCATTGTTGTTTCTAAACAAAACCAGAACAGTTTGAGCAGACACTCCACTTCCTGCCCGCTCAGCCTGGGGCCCTCTGCCCAGCACTGCAGCAAACATGCAGTATCGTTACGTAAATAAATGTCTAAAAATCAACCAAACGAGGATTTGGGATCTGGAACGCTACTCACGGAGTTCTCTGCAGTTCCCATGAGGTCCCAGGCCAACAGAGCAACAGAAGCAGCCCAAAAGCCATACTACAAACAAGAGGAAGTGGGAGGAAGGAAACAGCACCATTCCATCCATCACACTTCAGATATTTCAGTATTCATCCTTTAGTCCAAGTACTAGATCAGATTTTCTATTTAGCAAACTTCATTAAACCCTGGAATATGGCATTGGCAATGTAGTACCATCTCCCTTCTCTGCTAGGTTAGCATAAATCACTACTGCTCAGGCACTTCTCCAGGAGCACGTTTTCCTTTGGTAAGATGAAGCTCCTGCACGTTGCACATCCTGCAGCACACAGCAGGCACGCGCAGCAGGAGCAGCCTCACGAGAGCTGATTGGGAGCCCTCGAATGAAGCTGGCTCTGCTCCCTGCACATAGTGAACACTTCTTCCTTCAAGTGCTTTTATTTGCCATCACAACAGCCAACGCTGCTCTGTGCCCAACCAGAATTCACTCACCAGAGGTATCGGGAAATGGGTCGCGTATTGCAGATGACGAAGGAGGTCGTAGTTGGATGGAAAAATCACTTCTCTGAGCCCTTCCCTCTTGACTGACTTCTCACTGGCAACCGAAATTCTTCTGTCTAAAGAAGAGTTCATGTTCTCACAGGACTCCCCAGGCATCGGAGAAAAAATCTAAGTCATGTAAAACAAATGTTTGAGATAAGTAACCTCTAACTTTTTAAATTCAATAATTCCAAAGACCAGATTATTTATAAGCATCTGAGCTTTTTTCAGAGATAGCCAAAAAAAGGGCAATGGTAATCTGTGCTGAAATGTAAGCAGCTACATATACAAGTTATGTTTCTATGTGAATCTCATTGTTATCAGACAGGTTTTAAACTAGAAGTGTTCCATGAGGGAAGAAATAACCAAAACATTACAGTTCAGAGCAATTTCTACACAAACAGTTGGGATACAGAAATCACAATGAGAAAACCCAGAGGGAATACAATGAACAGGGTGAAGTGGGAGGCGATGGAGGACAAAAGACACTGCAGCAGGCAGGCATGAAACCATTCCTATGGCAGATGCCAAGCGCACACAGTGTGTCCAGTATCCAGCAAGTGGGCAGAAAGAAGGGAAGGAGCATTAGTGTGCATCTGCATGTACATGCACAACAAGGGGCTGCACAGAAAAGCCATGCGTTGCCACACAGTGCAGATGCACAGAACAGAGGCGATGCACTGGCAGAACACAGCAGGCACCGACAGCACTGGCTCTTGGTGGAAGCAGCCAGGCAGCACAAGGGGCACAGAACGTTCCTGGTGACAACAGCAGGCAGCAAACACAAGCACCAAAGGCATGCAGAAAGCCAAAAATTAAACCTACTGGAAATTCTGAACCAAAATCTGCCTTAAAGTCACCCTTGTCTACATCATCAAAGATACTGGTGGGTCCTGAGTCAGTGCCCATGTGCTCCATAATGCTGTGATCCTAAGAATTGTCAGAGAGAGAAACAAGCATCAGTCGCACTGTACTGATGACCTATTTAACTGGTCCCAGGTAAACCCAAGCATTTCACCTACTTAAGAAATAAGAAAAAAGTAGTGATGGTTAGAAGCTTTCACGTATGCCTTTTAATTCACAGAAGTATTTCTCAAGCCTAAATCCATAAAGCAGTAGAAGGGAGAAGGGGCTGAAGGAGAAACAAAGGTTTACAGCATATCCCTGCAAGTAGTTCTGCTCCCAGGGACACCTACAGAACGGGACTCTTGCGCCTGCAACGTTTACTTGGACAACCCCAACATCCTAGGGCAAGTTTGGCCCTGAGCCCTATGTAAGAGATGTACAAAAGGAATGACAGGTAAAGATGAGAGAAGCTTTAGCTGGCCGCCAGCTCCACAGGCACTGGGAGCAGCACAGAGGGCTGAGTCTCATCATCAAAGTCCAAATGTAGCCCACGTTCTGCAGCTTAAAGGTGCCTTCTCTTTTCACTCGTTTTAGCAAAGATGGAGAAACGCTCATCTGATGGAAGACTGAGGACTGCACACCGACTGTGCACATTGGAGTCACAAGGATTTGCTTTATGACCCAGTTCGTACGGACATTTGTGGCTGTTCAGCACACAGCGAGCTCCTGCAGTTTACCTGCACGTAAGTTTCTTCACTGCTAAATTCAGAAGCCAACATCATGCATTTTTGTTTGTCCAGAGTTATTCAGCTCAGTATATTTTCACTAAAACAGCAATACTTAAGTTACACACAAAAACACAGCCAAAGGATCACTTCCAGTCAGAGATAGAAGGCCAGACAAAGGGAGATTAAAAATAAGTTAAAAAGAAAACCTGTATCTGAAATACCTTGGTGAAAATCCACATTTTATGAAATCAAGTACTGAATGTGGGAGAAACAACATGCAGCATTACCTCTATTTTAACATCATTATCCTTAGAATAGCGCTCATCCACAGTTTCCCCATTAGGTGAACGTGGTCTCGTAGTTGCAGTAATTGACAAGTCTCCACGCGATATTAAAGTGCACATGTATGCATCATGAGAGAAAACATCATGTCGAGTGAATTCAGAAAACAGCAGCACCAAATTCACAAACTCTGTCTTCTCATGGTCGCTATTTGGGTCAGCTAGCCAAAAAACAAAAAAAAAACAGGACTGTAACTCCAACATGGAAATATCTGGTTCTTAGCCACCCAACATGCAAATCCCAGCAAGTTCACGTGCTAAAGGTTGAGAGGCCTGATAAAAGTGGCTTGGGTGCCCTGGACAGATTATCTGTGCCTCCACAGGACAAACCATTTCCCACCTACTGGCACACAAGCAGCGTGGCTCCGCTTTGCTGTCAGCTGGAGGCACGTGCCAGAGCTCCAAAGGCAGCAGGTGCCAGAGCATCCCACCCCATCCGTGCCCGCTGCAGCTGGCCATTAGTCAGCAGCTAAGGCAAGGTGCCAGCAGTTCAAAGACAAATTGAATAAATAAACAGACAGATAAAAAGAGGGAGGGGAAGAGAGGGTAAGGACATCCCTTAGGTGCAGAAAAATTATTGTGAAGCTCTGGATTATAAAAGGCAACTCTGTCCCTCTACTCCAAAATTCTATTACAAGGGTAGATTTCACTGTTTTTTGACAATGCTTTTATATTTTTAATGGAAAAGCTTTTAAAGTATTTTCAAGGAATTCATTCTGTGTACTTCCACTTATCCACTAAGTGTTATCACAAACATCAGGAAAGAGCATATTAGAAACTGCCTGATATTTTGCCCATTAAAAGCAAAATGCTATGTATTTTTTTAATTAAGTTCTCATTTGTCCTAGCTATATTTAATTTGACTTGTTCTGTAACAAAGGAAGGTTTGCAGTAACACAGTTAAGAGAAAACAGCTGTATACCACAACTTTACCCAGCAATAAAACCTCCAGTTATGGAGCCACCAAATTCAAATCAAAATATATTCAGAAGTCAGTTATGCAGTATGAGTTCAAATTAATTCAATATATAACACGTTTTCTATTTAGAATCTTCATTTGTTGTCAAACTGGAAGGCAATTTACAGATAAGCAGTTAGAACTACTTTAGTGTTTCCCCCACAGAAAACAGAGATGTTCTTTCAATTTTCACCCTAACCCGCTTTCTGCCCCTATTTTTGAAACTCCTATTACCCTGCACTACAGAAGTTGCAATGCTGAGCCCACAAATACAGCAGTTCTAATCCAAACCTCCCCTGCCCTGAGCTGCACAGCAAGCTGCTGGAACAGGCACCAAGACATCACAAACCCACACCTGTGCACTAAGTGCTGAGCCCTCAGCCAAAATACAGCAGTCGTGCTTTTCAGGCTTAGACACGGAAGCTCAAGCTCCACAAAAACAGCATCCCTCAACAAAATCAGTTCTGTCACGAAAAATCCCAAGGAACATTTCAAGCAGATAAACCACTGCTCAGCGCTTCTCCCCACCCTGTCCCATAGAGATGCCCACGTGGAGAAGGATAAGACCACAGCTGAAACGAGGAAATCAGAAACTCAAGTCTAAATACCACAAATAGCTTGCATGGTTTAGTAAAACTTGAGTCACCACTGACATGAAAATAGAGCAACACCAACACTCCAAAGTCTCCAAAAACTTCTTCAGGTGTTTCTCCTTCCTCAGATGTTGACAGTTCTCATCATCGTGTTTCAAACCACTTAAAACCCACTTCAATGTAAGGGCACCAGAAAAAAAAAACACGCTCACCTCTAGAACTAAAGACATGAGAAACACAGGCTACAACAACATATGGTTTTATTAGACCAGTGCATTTCTTAGAGCAACCTACAACAAAGACCCTTTACTCAGCCCACCTATCTGTCAGCTAACAGCGTATGACTTTGCTGCTTGTGTGCAATGCTCACTATGAATGTGCAGCAGAGTAAAGCTATAACAATCCCATCATAGCAAGGTGGCAAGGTCTTTGGCTGCAGCAAAAGTGTCCAGAGACAGCAGCCACAGATGCAGAAACAAAGGAAAAAAAGTTCCTCACCTTTGGAAGCCCTCAAGTAGTCAGGGATCTCCAGTAAGAGACACCTGGCCTCCACTGCCAACCCTTAAATGAGGTCTGAGAAGGGGTGGATCGTGGCTCCAGCCCTTCCAGTCACTCAGGTGTACTGCATGCACCTGGGCTCTCCTGGGCAGACCCTGCCTTCCCACCAGGTGCTCCATCACTGCTTCAGGCTGTGAGCCAGCATTTCCACTACAACTTGTCAAAAATGCGAGCATTTGATGTTAGCTACGCATATAGTGCCAGCAATTTCCCCAGATCTTGTAAGGCCTAAACAGAAATAGGTATTGCTTCTTCCAATTTTCATTTTGTGAAAGAAGAAAGGAAAAAAAAAGATCATGAAGAGCCTATAACAAGGCAGGAAATTTTAAAAAATAAGTGCTTAAGAGAATGGAGCAGATCATGACAGAAACCAAAACACCTGCCACAGCCAGGCAGTAACTCCAGCAGTCAGGGGCACACCAGCTGTTTCTGACCTTCTTGGGATGAGTTAATACTCACACAGCGAGGGAGCCTGTGTGTCCAAAAACCTCAGCAGGACATTCTGGAAAACAGGAAGACTGGAACTTGTCAAGGAGGCTGAAGACAGAGATTCCTTTTCATCCAGGACTTCAGATTCACCACATCTCTGCAGAGTTAAATAAATAAAAAAGCGTGCGTCTATGCACAGACATGCAGAGTTCCAAAACTTACATGTGAAGTAACTATAGTGTGATTGTTTCCCATCTTTTCATAAAACTCAGTCTTGATCTAGAGTGACTTTTTTTCCCCTCCTCAGTTTAGTCACTTCTGCAGTGCGGTGGTTTTTTTTACCACTTTGGATGGCTTACTGAGGCGTGCCTCTTACACGCACCTTCTGCAGTGATGTGCTCTCACATAAAAGCAAAAAAATTAAGATCCAGAACTTCCAGTTCAAAAGCAAAGGCAAAAAGTAGCTTCTCCCACTTGTGCAAATGACAGCACAGTACCAACCAGGGCCAATGCCTCCTCCCGAAGCCCCTCCAGGGCGGCAGCAGCACAGTCATTGCTGTGCACTCAGCATGGAGCTGAGCGCCATGGGGATGTGGCAGGGGAGGTGTTGGCTCCTGCAGGGTGCAGCGTGGTCACTGACCGCAACAGACAGACACAAGTTTTCGAAACGATGCCACTACAGTGCTTTGCTCTCCAATGCAACATTTTCACTCCTCCGAAAAAAGAAGGCAGTTCTACACAATGTGAGATACAAGTCACACCGCAGTTAGGCCTCAAAACAAACCGCGAGTCTGGAGCCGTCCCAGAGCCTCCAAGTGGGAGCACAGAGCCGCCCTGTGCCCCACAGAGCTCCCTCATGGCAGCATCCCAGCAGCTGGGCAAGCGGCTCGCGGACACACGGGGCTCACAAGGGCTCACAGATGCCATCCAAACAAACAGGTACCAAGGCCGCTCTCAGGGCTGTGAGTAGAAGACGTTTTCATTTTAAGTTTATGTAGGATATAAAAACTGTAAATCAATGAGAAAATCTCCAGAGCTCCAAGTATAATCAAATTTACCTTGTTTTGCAAAGGACAGAGATTAAGGCAATCTTTCCTTAGAAATATCCTTGCATTTTTAGACGTACTGTTCATGCTATTCCAGATAGAGACAGGACTTACTTCTGCTTCAATTTCTGCTTGCCTTTTCTCCAGGAGTTTGGCCACCACCATGGCCCGGTGCTTCCCAGACCGCTTGCAGCTCACGGCCCACTCACACAGCAGCATCACCACGGCCTCGTCGCTGGGGGCTGCCTGTGCAGAACACAGACAGAATGGCATCTCACATATGCAGCCAGCAGGCTTAACTCTGAGCAAGGGCTTTCTGATGGATGGAGAAAGAAAGCAGGTTTTGCTCTTTACTACTAGTGGATACACACGGGTGTTTCATTCATAGTATTTTCTAATACGATATGGAAGCAAAAGAGGAAAATCACTATTTTCTCACTGCTGAGAATCAAATCTAAACTGTCTTGTAACATAATGTCACTTCACAAGAAAAGGGCCAAATAGGAAAAATATCCACAGAATCTCTCAACCACAGCTATTACACCGAGTTCATGGCTTCCTTGCACAAATTATTCCAGGCCTCCTCCATTGGCTTCCAGATCATTACCTGTACCCCACCTACACACACACACACACACAAAACAAACCCCAAAACACCACAACCACTGAAGGCGTGAGGATCAAACAACCAAAGTCAGAAAGCTCCCAACCAAACTGCTCATCTTACCTCCCACCTGCGCCTTCCTAACAGACGTTTTTAAGAACAGTACATATTCACATTTAGACAACCCATGTTTTGTAAGAGCTATGCTACACACCAGCCGTGCTTTGCCATGTTATCATGCTTTTGCATTTTTGAGGGGGAAGACGGGGACAGCTTCGAAGTCTGCAATGCCTGCTGGCTCTGGCAGAAGCACTTGTTTCCAAGGGAACCCATTGCTGACGGATGGCTGTAAGTGATCATTCGCCTTCAAAATTACAGTGCGGATTCCCAAGTTCTGTATGTACACAGAAAACATCGGGGTATTCGTCCAGCCAAGAGCTGCACCCACACACCTCATACATGCTTAAAATTGGTGATTTCGGTACTTGGGAACTGGCACACACAGCAGTAAAGCCAGTTCTCAACATACAGGTGATACTGAAACCCACTCATACAGACCTGTGTTGGCAAGGTGTCATCACCAAAACTCCACCTACACCAAGGTCATGGAACGTGGGCCATGGGCTGCAGCTGAGAGGCTGAGGAAAGTGCAGCTGAAGCAGCTGACCACACGGCACGGCTCTGCGCAGTGCTGGAAGCTCCAGTGCAGGCTGCATGCTGAGCACAGGCAGCAGTGTGCTGCTCGCAGGGCCTCAGAAGCAGCCACAGCAATGCTCAGAGCAGCGTGGGAGGGCCGGGCTGCCGCCCTGCTGCACCGCTTCCTCCTCCCCTGACGGCTCCCATGGCAGCACCTCATGATTTCCCCCTCTGATGCTGATTGTATTTACTTAATTAAGCACACCAAGAACACAAGTCAGCAGCGCCGCTTGAAATAATCAGGTTCTGGATTTATCTAATTTGGGATTCTGCAGCTGCAGATGTTCCAGCCCCCAGAGCAGACCATGTTTCAGAGGGTGCAAACTGCTGCCTGGAAGAGCTGCACCAAGATCGTGTTTTCACTCAGAGCATTTCAGGAGGACGTGGGATGGGTCTGAGCTCTGCCCAACGTCCACATTCTGCAGGGCAGATGCCAGGCAGAGCTCAAGCAGAGCTGGTCAGGGGAACAGAGCCCCTTCTTTGCCTCCAAACCTCACGTCCTGTAAGAGGAAATGCTGCATCAGACAGGGGAGCTCAACACAGCTGGTGGCACCTCGTCCTGCAGGGTTTCACCAGTTCTGGATACTTCACGCACATCCCACTGCCCAAGAGAGCTCCGCATGAGGGGGTTTGGAAGGGACTTGTGCTCAACCCTCAGTGGCCATAAACATCAGTGCCTGGGGACCGAACCCACTGCTTTCAGGCACAGAAGCTGTGTGCTGGACATCATCCCACTCAAACCCGTTGCTCAGCCAGTCTAGCTATGACAGAAGGTAGCTATCACTTCCTGAAAGCCATCAGCCTTTCAGAGAAAACCAGAGGTGTCACATCACTGCCTGTAAGCAGAGCAGTCCGTGAAGAACAAGAAGAGTTCTTGGGGTTTTTTCAGTTAAAAAAAAAAAAAAGCAGCAGCAGCAGAAGTAGTAATGCTTAATACTTTCCTTCCAATACTCTCCTGTGTTACCATTCTGATATCCTTGGAGACAGGAAGCCAAAAGTATTATTAAAACTGCTTTTTATAACTCAGCTCTTTTCCCACTGGTCCTCACTTTTATTATTAACTCAATGCTGCTACCAAGGAACAAGTCTGACTTCTACTCCAGCAATGCCACTGCTGAGCAGCAGGCTGCAGAACCTCTTTTTGGGACAGAGCAGGCAATGCCGGGCGCAGTGCCCACTGCCCAGCACAAACCTCAGCCCCTGGAGGTTCCCCCGCCTGCCCTCGCTGCTTTCACACCTCTCAGGGACAGACCTGGCGCCCGGCTCCCTGCCGCAGGGCACGCAGACATTGTCCCAGCAGCAGCATTAGCCACTGCTCTGAAGCTGTCTAGTGCAAAAGGAAACAACAAGCCGTGTGCTCTTGCCAAGGGCTCTGCCAGTTGTTTAAGCCACTGAATTTATGTTTCTGCCCAGAGAAATTTTGCACTGACTCCCTTAGGAGCCAAGGTGAGCAGAAACGTTTTGCTGAATTTTCTGAAACCATAAAGGTGACAATAGCTGCCCAGCCACGCGTCAGAACATAGAATCATAGAATCCAACAAACTTGGAAAGGACCTACAAGACCACCAAGTCCAACCGTCCTCTCATTACCATTGCTACCACAAGCTACTAAGCCGCATCTCATAGCTAACGGAGCAGTTCAAGCAGCTGAACCAACGTTAACCACATTATTTACAATACTGCAAGAACGCTCCAAATATTCTCTATTTTTTCAGTGTTTATGGAAATAGATTTTGTTTCCTCAGACAGTTCAGTGTACATCTCATTTCTCCTCCCATCCTGAGTCCCAGCACACTCACATTGGGTCCCTCAGGCAGAAGCAGTCTGACTGCTAAATTCCTGCTGTCCTGAACCCAGCAGCACCACCAGCCCTCTGTTCCCACAGACACAGGGGGTGGATTTTTTGTTTCATTTCCAGCAAAGTGATCTCAGAAGGACAAATATTAACTCCCGGCATCTGTTACAAGCCCTTTCGTGAGAACCAAGTTTAAAAACATAATTTCACTCTAAAATAAAAAACAACTCTCAACATTCTAAGAATTCAGCTGGACTGCAAACATAACATGGGACATAAGCTCTGAACACATTTCAGAGACCTGAACTTAGAAAACAACCCAAGTGCACAAATTTCCAGGAAGGTTTAAGATTTTCCATAGTGACGTCAAAGAAATTCAACATCACTTCTTAAAAATCAAGTGCTTTCTCTATTCATCCAACAACAGCTAAAATATTCCGCTATGGAGTGTCATTCTCCAGTACCCCTCCCACTGCTTATGTGTCCCTGCATTTTCCTGCACAGGCTGCTCACACAGCCCAGACAGCCACTGCTGGCCAAGATGCCCTGAGCGCGGTCACAGTGTGGGGCTTCACCATCACGGCTTCTCACAGGCCCTCTGTCACACACAGCACAACTGCTGTTTGCTGTTCACTCACTGTCCAGCCACAGCTCAGCCCCTCGCTCTACTCTTTTCTTCATTTTGCTCTCCTGCCATCAGTGCCTGCAGGTCCTGTCCTCCCCTTAACGCCTCTGCACTGCCCAGGGGAACAAAGCAGCCACGGCCTGGCAGCCAGCCTGTCCCCCATCACCCTGCTGCCTCCCCTGGCCCTGCTCTTGTTGTGACACTCAGAAGTCAGCAGCATGGTTGTGTCAGGAGGCAGGAGTCCAGGGAGGACATCTCATCCACAGAACAGCAGGCTTTGCATGGGTCGCCATCTGAAGGCAGCACATACATGACCTCTGAAATTATGACACTTTCTTCCTAGGAAAAACAGCCTAAATTCATTAAGTGGGAAGAGAGTAGGTTTAAAAAAAAAGAAAGGAAACACAGCATTTTGTGTGGGAACGTGCTCATTTGCAGCCTGCAGCACAGCCTGGCAGGAGGCCCTGCTCTGCCCCAGAGGGCATCCAAAGCTACAATGGGCACAAACCAGTGAAGTACTACTGAAACATTAAGAGTTTTCTTCTCTCAGAAGAAAAATATACATATATATATATGTGTGTGTGTGTGTGTGTGTGTATATATATATATATATATGTATATAAAATCTTATCTGCTTTCCCTACAATCTCCTACAGCTCTTCTGCAAACACAGGGACATTACCAGTTCTGTACGATCATGTTTTATTACAGCTCAGCATTCTCCACCTCAGAGTAAATGATTACGTCATTAGAAGACTGGCAGTAAATTAATCAGACAGATCTCATAAAGGTGCTTGGTACCAAGGCTTCAAGAGTGCTGCTCAGGGCCACAGCAGACATGTTTTCCAGGCAACCCAACTTCAGGTCATAAAGTAGCAGAAAAAAGGGGTAATAATAGCCAACAACTGACAGCAAGAACAGAACAGAGCAATCGCTGTACTTTCAGAACACGCATTACCAATACTGTGCTTCGGAGCATGAAGAAACATTCTGGAAATACAATTGCAGTTGAAGTTAGCAAAGCCTTCTGAAAAGCAGAAAGTAAAAAGGAAAGAGACACAAAAACAGAACAAATCTGACCATGGCATGAAATGACAAAGGGATTTAAAACTCAATACAGAACCCATACAAGTTATCCTTTCGTCCATGAAGGAGTGAAAAAAGCCAGAGTGGACCAGGATTTCATGTCAGCTACACAATAAAACTGTGATGATGAAATGCGTATTATAAAATCTATCAGAGAAGCTAACATTGCAACACAGACATACATAATAGTTTCAGAGCTACATGACATGCCAAATGCTGCTATGTACCGTGTAATTCAGGGATTGTTATGGCTTTGAGTTAGACCGCAGGGGATCGAACTTGAAAAATCCTGGAACCTTCATGCCCAAGAAAGGCCAGGCCCAGAACAGATGACTCAAATTACTGACATTGCTGCTGCCATGAGGTGGCTGCATTTCCTCTCTCACAGTCTAAGTGTGCCCGAAATACAAACACAATCCTGCTTGTCTCTCAGCCTACCTGCTGGTTCCAGAAATATTTCCAAAGAGATCCCACCTCCCTGTCCCCACATACTGTGTTGATCTCAGCAGTCAGTACAACACTGACTAATAGTTATTACACAACGTTTCCGAGCAACACAGGCTCAAATTATGAACACCAATCACTAAGAACATACCATCACAAACAAGAAGATGGGTATATTAAATAAAACACTTTGCCAAAAAGCTTTTACAACATTAACATCAGCAACTATGACAGATCCACTAGTATTTTCCACCTTGGAATTTTACTTTATTAATGTGTTGTTAAAGCTTCTTATTTTCCCCCCAAACGATTTCCAAGTTAACTCAAAATCCAATGTTACACACAGACCCAGTGACACTGCCAGCTGCACTGTGCAGAGTGCAGTCAAAAATGTTAAAGACTTCTGATAAAGATTTTCATGATCTCTGAACACAGTCCTGGAAGCACAGGGAAAAATAAAAGTACATAACTTTAAATACACTAAAATATTCTAAAAGCTACTGATGTACAACTTTCTGCAACAGATGTAAAAGGTGTGGATATTCTACCTCATTCAGGACAGCATTCAAGAGACAATCCAGTTAAGAATTACATTATAATGACAAAGAGCTGCTTACTTCTAATAAATAAAATCTTGAATAGTTGTGGAGAAAAACACACTGTGAAAACACACAGCTGTTGTATCAGTTTCATACACGTGCACACGCAGTTACCACCAGTAAGAATAAAATCCACAGTCTACAGATTAGGCAGTGAGGAGAGCATACAGCCATTACCTCTTGGTTATCTTTGTTCTGGTTTGCCCAGAAAATCTTATGATACAGTGTCTCCATTGAATTGCTGGAATCCGATCTGTCAAAACAGTGTCGATCCAGCACTTCCAAGGTGTGCAGAACTCGGCTGATGGTCACCCCTGGATACAGGAGTCAGAAGGGAAAGAAAAAGTTTAAATAGGATGACACTGCGGGACTTCAGGCATTGCTGGACACTACAGTTACTGGCATTAGGGGAGCAGCAGATCACATTTGATGTTCATTTCACTGTGGGCGGCTACTCAGACCCTCCACAGCCTGACTGCTACCTACTTATTTATTTTTGTCATGGAAAATAGTTCCAGTACTCACTCCAAAGAGTAACTGCGTATTTTCTAACTTGTATGCTCTATATACAAATTTCCAACCAGTCTCTTTCCTACTCACTCCCATCTAAGCTGAAAACAAACTATTTCTCACCTATCCAGCTATTTCAGGAGCCAGACGTAACAAAGTCCAAACCTGAATTCTTAGCTTCTACCCAACATTTTCATGTTAATGTTGTTTTGCTAGTCCAAGAACTGAGGTGCAGGTGGAGAAATGCTCTATTACTGCAATGAATCACGGTGCAACAGGCTTATACTCACAGAAAAAGAACAGATGCTAACCCTAAGACTCCCAACACTTACTTCACTACGTCTTGCCTTACCTGCAGCTGATTCTTGGCACTTGTCAAAAGACCACCGCACCTCCACAGCACGACCTCTTTGTTTTATCTGCTGTTCTACTTCATAGATCCTTGCCCGAACCTATAAATGAGGCAGTTACTAATTAGTTAGCAGTAGGAAGTCTCAATTTTCATTTCAAGCTTGTGACAGGTTCCTCAGTAGGAGCAAGGTATCTTATGATGTTCTACAACATTCCCTGTATTTGATAACAACTAACTAGAGCACGTTTGGTTCAAATGCTTTTATCTGTTAAGAATCTTCTGGTACAATAAAACTTCTTTTACTTAAGTTAAACCCAGCAGAAGTTTATTTCCAATCTGAATTTAACTTCCAATGTGAAAAGTCACAGCTCACGACATGGTACGATACACCTCCTCTTATTTGCCACTTTACATCTTAAAGTGATCTCTGTTTAATAACTGAAAACAGCTGAACGTAAGTAAAACTACTGATATTTTCACAGAAATCACTATCTGACTGACATACAAACTACAACTGGCACAATGCTAGTTTAGAAGTTGAACTGCACTGATAACTGCTTCAATAACTCCTACAGCTGCGGTCATGAACGCAGTCACTTCTCGGGATACGGAACAGATTTATTTATCTCAACATTAAAAAAGTTTACCTGCTGATTAAATGTTGAGTTTCCACCTGGCATAGGTAAACTAGATGGAGCAACTTGGAGTAAATCCAGGGGTGAGCCAGGATTAATGTTCTTATTTTCATTTGTGGAATAATTCCACACCAAGGCACTTGGGCAACAAAGAGTTATAGTCTGCAAGCAACAGTACAGAACACAAGTAGTGCGTGATAGACAAGACCAACAGTACCAATAATAAGAGAGCTCGAATCGTTTTGGGCAATTACAAAGAAACAAAAGACAAGTCCACACACACACTGAAGAAATTCAATTGCTATGTTACTTTCCTCCCTCATTATTAAAAATTGTATTTACATATATGCACTCTCAATTCTCATTTCTACTGCCTTTATAATGCCACCAAAGAACATCACCAAAAGTTAATCCCAGACAGATCCTCTCCATGAAATGCGAACGAGTCTTAGAAAAAAATAAGTCATTTTGGTATTCAGCTTTCAGAAAGAAGCTACACATGAAAAATTTAAGAGACTAGAATGAATACTTCTGCCAAGTTCTAAAACACCAGACACTGAAATACACCAGAAACTTAACATTTACTTCAAAAGAGAGACACTGCATTGACAGGCTTCAAGAGGGTCCTTCTGCAGTGGCTTACCACTGGATACCGATTAACCTGCTGCATCTAGAGCTGTGCAGAGCAAAAGCAGAAAGCTTCGGTGCTTTTGGATCAGATCTTAAATATCATCTAAAGTGATGGAAGTTGCTTCATATAATTGATTTTTTATCTTTGAAGCTGCTGCAAAATTTGTTTGGAAGTTCTCCTGGTCCAAATTTGGCCTTCAGAGCAGTAGTTCAGCAAAAAGATTGCCTAGGAAAACACTTTGTTAAAAAGCTGGAGAGCTTGTCTGCCTCAGGGCCATCCTACGGACCTGCCTGGTAGTACAGAAAAAAGGGGTGGGGAAAAAACACAAAGATCATACACACACAAGGAGGAAAAAAATAAATAGTACAGGATGAACAGAAAGATTATCCTCTGTGCTGTTATCAGAGGAAAGCTGTAAAGCTGCTAAAGGCAAAGCCGTGAAGCTGTGTGAGACAGAAGCAGCCCTGTGACAGGGAGCTGCCCACCACTAGAGGAAGGTGCCCAGAGACGTGGAGGAGATACTCAAAACCCAACTGGAGATGGTCCTGGACAGTCTGCCTTGGCTGACCTTGCCTAAGCAAGGGGGATAGCTACCTGACCTCAGAAGGTCCCACTGCACTGCCCATCCTGTGACTTTGTGGTCCCACGATCACCAGCACACTCCTGGTATGCTCTTTACAAACCTACCACCACCAATCAATAAGTGCAAGCACATAGTTTCTAAAGCTTCCGTTGCCCTGCCAAAAACAGAACTGTCCATAGTGGCACCAGGCACCCAGGACAACCTGGAGGAAGCAAGGAAACTGCCAAAGTCCAAGGCTTGCAGGAGTCAGTGAGGCGTTGTCTTCAGCCCAGCTGCTCCCAGCAAGGACAGGTGGGTCTGCCAGGAATGAGCAAGTCCACGGGTGATGAGAACACTGCTCAGCATGACTGCAGCCACAACACTCCTTCGGAGGGACGGTTCGGCCGCTCCTGTGGCAGAGCTGCTCCCTCGTGTGGCAGTGCTGCAGACAGACACACGAAGCACCAGCACCCTCAGACGCTTCCACAAGCACACCTCAGGCAGTGGCTAGCATTCCTCCTCCTGCTACCTCCACGTCCACAGTCCTCTCGCTTTCCTGATGCAGCTGCATCTCAAATCACAGCCTGTGCACCTCGTCAGACCCAGACATACAGTTCTCCAATAAACTCAACAATCGTGGCCTCAAAAACAAAGAGCAACAAGCACGGGCCTACCTGCAGCATACAACTCAGCCCATACACCAGCGGACGGTGCTGCGGGCAGGAGAGGAAATCTGAGCAGGTGAGCTGCACGGGGCTCAGCACAGGACCGGGCGCAGTCGGGCTTGGCGCTGCCAGAGGAGGGTTACTTGGAGCAATCATCACATGAGGAGGATGTGCAGCTGCCAGGCTGGGGCCGTCGCTCAGCAGCAGCGACAGGCGCCTGGCACAGAAATAAGCGAGGCGGCGGGACAGGTAAGCTGACTGAACAAACTCTTCTGAGTACTGAAATTAAAACAAAAAGACATTATTTACCAGACTGCCTCCTTCACATCTTCATTTTAATTAACAATCTAACATTCAATATGCTCAAAGTAGAAGGGATCACAAAAGAGTATCTAAAATGCAAATCTATACTCTTGTCCCTTAAAAATTCCCTCTGTTTTGCAGGGCCAGTTGCAGAACAGGAGTCTTCCTACCAATTTCAGTTAAGAAGGATCATAAAGTGTGAAATCTGTAATGACACCTATAGGTTTCAAATACACATCGTGTGTAAAAACGCTCACATTGATTTTAACACTACAACTCCTAGAATCGTTTAACATATATGAGTCCTGCTTCTGTTGACTGTGTAAATTACACAGCTTTAAAGCACACACGCACCTGCAACATGAGCGGCAGCACCAGCTTAAGAATGTCGTCATCAGCAGGTCTGATTTTTTCCAAAACATCCAGTATCCACGTCAAGTACTCATGTCTCTCAAGCATTCCTTCCTTAAAGGATTTTAAATAACACATCACTTGTTAGCTGGGAGCGCTGAGAAAGAAAGTGTGTAGGTCCAAGTTTTATTTCATTTCTGGTCTAACTCCCGTTGCTCACAGCAGCTACCAGGACCCTCACACACCGCCCTACCAAACACCCTCATGGCAGCCCTGTGGGCAGACAGCTGTGCCCAGGTCTCAGTATCGTTTCTATTCAAGGAGCAAAGCAGCACTTATCCCTGGAGGCCTGAACCACCAGCACCACTGCTCGAGCGCAGACAACACTGAGTCACAGCGTCCATCGGGACTTCTGCTTACACAAAGGCACGATCTCTCCAGCTGAAGGCTGTGAGGCTGAGGACCCCGGGTGCAGTCCTGGCAGACTGCAAAGGTAAGTATGGGCAAAAATGTGTGGAGCTCAACAGCCACATCACCGCTCTGACACCCAAGGCTTCCTGTTCCATTGTGACCAGAGCCTGTCGTTAAATACACCCTTAAAAGATGGGATGATATGGGAGGAAAGAGAATAATTGAGAACATTACTGCAATAGCACTCAAGCACGCTAAGCAAATCAAAGTTTTTTCAGCTAGCAAATCTCTAAAATAAATCAGCATTTAAAATTTATTCTAGTTTTACAACATGAATTACCAGTAATATCTAAAAATATCTAAAACGCAACTTTCTAAAAATGGTGACATAAAAAAAAATCCATTCATTTCCGAAAGTATTACCTGAAACATATAAAAGGACAATTTTTCATTATATTCCCACTGCTTCAAGGCCTGTTCCATCTCTTGAGGCATCACTACAGAGCTGCTGCCTTGGCTGGAAGTCACATGATAAAACTCTGCAACCTTTGCCAGCTGCTCCCGAAGGTATCTGGTTATAATTTGAGTCCATTCTACAAAATAAGTTTACAATTAGAACACTTCAGATGATAAAATGTTTCTGTCTCAGTGAGGATCACAACAAATTTATGTTGAAAAGTATTTATCCAAAATAGTAACACGCAGTCGCATAACGCAGCACCACTGTGAATTAACAGGAGCTTTACGTGCCTCCCCTGCGCACTGCTCTCAAAGCACACATGCTGTCGAGTGTGTAAGCAGCCTGCTAGCTCAGCGTGATGTACGAGCACAGAGACAAGCCATGTCTCCAGGGAATCACCTGTCTCTTTCATCAGAGTTCAGCCTTCAGCCTCTGAACAGCTTTGAAACAGATAAATATACTTCAGTACTTCCTTCCTTCCAGAATTTATTCCCCTCTTCCCTCTTCCTTCAAAACCAACCAACAAAAAAAATGAGCAGGACTTTGCACAAGCACTAGCATACAACACTGCCCTCTCTACAATCGCTCTGAAACTGACAACTCCTCTGGATTTTGACTCTGATGAGAATGCACAAATTCTGAGGCAGCCTTTCAGGTCATCCTGATCAAGACAGTGCAGAGCTCTGCAAGTGCGACTCATTCGCTCTGCTCTACGGCAGGGAAGTCACTGGGTGCTGTTCATCAAACACACAAACCCACCAGAAGCTATCAGCTTTTCTTACACTTCAGAAGTGCTTTAATATTTAGGATAACTGAGAGAAATTAGTGAAAAAAGCAAACTTGCTTGATCATATACATAAAGCTTTGGGAAAAACAAAATGGTAAGGAAGGCATTCTCTGAACAGTGTAACTGGAATAGCCAGAGATTTCTGCTAGTATCTCCCAAACATCTGATGGAGTTGCATGTAACCTGCATGCAGCATGTTTTAGATGAGCTCTTCTATGAATCAACAATGCAATTACTTTGACAATTTGAATTTGCTCACTGTCAGAGTTAAGGGAACTCTGACACAACTCAGACACAGCTCTGTTCACCGATATCTATCCAGCTCAGATCTCAGCTACCGCCCTGCTTCTTCTATTCCCCTTTCAATTTGCAACTGGCAGTTCTATCAACACATACAGAATATACATTAAATGCTTTTCTACCCAAATCTGAAATTTCTGTATGAAGTCATTGGATTTCAGTGTTTTCATACAGCTGTTTAGCTACATTACTTCAAACGTTCACTCACTTTTGGAGAAACAATTCTGAATCCACCACATCACGCTTGTTTTCATGTCAAAGTACGAAAGAAAAATTCTCACAAAGCAATTACCAATATCTCTGTGCTGCTGAGTTAGAAACATCACAACACAACCACCTTTCTGCTCCCCAGAGCACAGATCTAAAGCTTTAGGGGGAATGTCAAAGAATACACGATAACACACATCGAATTACATCCCCAAATATCCTAACCTGGCTCGCAGGCCACGGTGCAGGCTTACACACAGAACGCCCAGGCCAAGTCCTTTACAAAGAGAAGCAGCACCTGCAGGTACTGGCTGCCTGCCCCCCACGCAGTGCTGCCCAGCTGCAGCACACCCCCAGCAGGACCACGTTGTCACTGCCTCCCACCGAGTCCCTGCCTCCTACAACAGGGCAGGTCTGAAGCAAGTGCAGGACAGGGAAGCAGTGCACGAGAAAGCCTGTCAGTACTGCAGCCACCCCTACAACTGAGGAAGGGACAAACGCATCGTATTCAGCAGCAAACCAGCCACAAGGACTCCACCTCTCCCATTTTTAAAGAAAGGAAGGGGAAGGAAAAGTCTGTTTCAGGCTCTCTTGATACAAAGCCCTGTGTGAAGGACAAAAGGCAAAGGTGAGAGTAGGAAAGATGGAGTCTCGTGGTCCTGCTAGGTAGTTCCAAAACCACTGAGATACAATTCACCGCATGTCAGCAGGAGCAGCAGCACACAGGAGCAGGGCGCTGTGCTCATCCCCCACCAAACCTCACTGACCTCACTGCAGCACAGCAACCCACAGAGACCCAACCTGACACGACATTCTGGGCAGTTGCTATGGTGCTGCATGGGGCAACCACAGACTGCCTCCCCCCTTGCTCTCTGTCACCAGACTTTTTTCTTTTCTTTTAATTAACAAAGAATAAGCTGAAAAAGCGTGGTAGAAGATGGTTTTTGGGCTTTATTTAGACACTCGAAGTGAAAATGAGTGTTACAAGCCTAAGAACAAAAACAAAAAACAAAGCAAAGTGGTAGAAACAACAGAATGAGTTGGTAGAAAGATGCAGACATCTCTCACAGCAGAACGGAGATGCTGCAAAACAGCATCTGATCACAGATGCTTTAAGAACAAAAGAGGAAAAAGTTCATTCCAAGCAGTGGAAAAGCCATAGGTAGAGTATAAGAGCTATGAGAGCAGTTTGGTAATATTAGGGTATCTTTTGTCCCTTAGAGGTGTTCATTGTTTGGCCGGCTGCCCTGGTGTCAGACAGCGCCATTTGCCATCAGTACTTAAAATACATGCATTGTCACTTATGTTTGAAATCAGCATCTTGTTTCAGGCTTTCTAAATCAGCAGTTCAGGTTGCTCCTGGGTACCACACAGCCTTTGCCACACCTGCCCCCCCACCAAAGGCTGGGATCGGTGGGTAAGACACAGCACAGCCAACTCCTCAGCCGTGCCTGGAGACTGAGGGACAAATCAGCTGGGAGGAGACCGAGCGGTGGGGCAGCAGTTGTGCTGCACGGCCCTTTGTACTCTTTGACACACAGTTCTAACCAAAACCGATTAAAAAGCATTTCTAACTGCACAGGCATTAAGTAATACTGATGCAACAAACAAGAGCAGCAGGTCCTTTCAGCTATCACTACGCATTTGGATATCAGAGCTGTTTACCTACCAGTATTTGGATCAGTGGCCTGGCGTTTCTTGATTTTAGCTTCAGAAATAGCAGCATAGTAGGCACATGTCATTTTGATCAGCCATGCTGCTCGCAGCAGTGGTACAGAATATTTTGCTAAGTAAGCAAAAACATCTTCTTTTTTACTGAGAATTGGAACCTGAAATGAAACGGGAACCTGAAATGAAACAGTGCAAACAGCAGTAGATCTGCAGGTTCACCCTGGCCTCCCCTGCTAACTGCCAGGACAGCAGCAGACCTCTTCATCAACCAGGGAAGCCTCTAGGCAAAACCCATTGCCTAGACACATACAAAGAGACTTGACAATACAAAAGAGCCACCCCACGCTTTCCCAAGGTTACATCTGGTAACATCCTTTCCCAGCTCTGAGATGCCTACAGGGCCACTAGCAAACCTCTCAATTCTGCCAAGGACATCCAAAGTGCAGAAAGAGGCCTGCAAGCTGATCCTCAGAACTTCTGGAAAATAAAGATAGGTCAAGATTTTCGTTAAGAGTTCAGTTGCACAGATGCTCTCTGTATCTTCAGCGCCTCTGGTTAGAGCCTGTAATGATGGAGTGTGCCAGGGAAGCAAGCTGGCCAGCTGTGACACCTACCCACATGCAGAACAGGGTTGGTCCCACAAGACTTCAGGATGAAAAGTCCCCCCTGTACTGTCACAGCAGTTCTCAAACCCTTCTGCACAAAGGTAGCACCACTTCCAAAAGCATTGTTAAATATGAGAAAAAGACATTTCATAACCAGTGGAGACAGAAGGGAATGGAGGCACAAATGCTGCACTACCGAAATGCCTGGAGGAAAAAAGGTGCATCAATGCAGCAAACAAAGCACAGATCCTTTTCAGTAAGACTCCTCTGAGGTCACCCTAGGGACTCTACCCAGTTAGTTTCACGGGGCTTTTAACATGCTTATACACCCTTGTTCAGATGCCCATAACTCCATTTCTGTTTTTGTTTTTTTTGAAGCATGAACAGTGAAAGAAATCTGTGTAGTGCTTCTATTCATAACGTGAACATCTAACAGGGTTAAAGGAAAACTCTGTATTAGCAGTATGCTTGCCACAGAAAAGTGTGTTTTGCTGGTGACCCTACTGGTGGCAAAGCAGCTCCTGTTCTTTATCAGCCAGTTACTTACACTTCACTGGTGGGATGAACACATGTGTTTGGGACCTCTAGATTCAAACTGAATTGTTCAGTTTATTTTCCTCTTTGTTAAGGAACTGCAGAATGCTAAGACAAGGAATAAAATTTCAGAGCTCAATGTTATTCTTTGCTAGCAAAATCTCATTATTTGCGCATTACTCTTACCTCAGTAAAAAAGGCACAAAGGGTACAAAATCATAGACTTACTTTTTTTTGAAAGCAGATATATCTGAAACTCTAAACCTTTTACGAATAAAAGGAATATTTTATGAATACTGCCTCATCCTTATAGACCAGTTCAGTACGATTCAACATCCAAGAAATAGGAGCAGTACTCTTATACCTTTTTTGCTAACACAGTCAGTGGTTTACTTCCTGCTAAATCTGTGAACCAGTTGTGAATCGCACTCTGAGAGCGAGCAGTAACCAGCCAGTAGTTGTCTTTGGCATTTACTTGTGGTTTCTTCTTTCCTGTGTCCTGGAACGTGTTAAGTTTTAGCTTTTCTGCTAATATGCTGCTGAAGTAAGCGCCAATCTGGTGGGTAAAAAGAAAAACAAACACACGTATGACAAGGCAGTTAGCAAGCTTCTACTGCACATGAACACATAGGGGACTTCCATCTCTATAGAGATCCATCGCGCCAGTCCAGGCTATCAGCCTAGTAAGATTACACTTCAATTCCTCACGGACAGAAGATGGAGATCCTGGCACTAAGCACCCCTGCAACACTTCTGCACTATCAGCAAAGAAGCTGCACAACACCAAAACCAAGGCAAAGAAGACCAGGCCTCGAAGATACCAGAGACACAGCTACCATTTAGGACTGGGCTGCAAGTCCCCTGAGCCACATCACAGCAAGAGCTGCACAGCTCAGATTTGGGACCTGGCTCAGTGTATCCCACAACTGCCTGAGAGCATTCCTCTTTTCAGCATTCTAGCACACCACAGCTATATACCTGGTTTTCACTTCTATTAAGAACAAGTCTTACTGTCACAACAACTGCATTCATTGTCTTTCCATCAGCTGTTACAGCAGGCAAAAATGCCACAATTTGGACAAGCTGCTGAGTCCTGACTCCTACTAACACTGCCTCCACTACCACTCCATAGCTTCCAAAGGAAAAATACCATAAGATTGCCTTCCCCAGCAGTTTCAATCCCAAAGCAGCATGCAAAAAAAAAACTAAAAAAAAAAGCCCAAGAAAGGTTCGAATTGCTGTGCAAGGTCATTTGCATATCAAGGTTACTGCAACAGAAATTAATTTTCAGGCTTGCCAGTTAGAATAAGACATTCGATTTTCTAATAAGTTTACCTGCAGATTCTGAGCTTATCTTGATAATTCTTCCAAACAACTATAAGCAATTCCTCGTGAATTTTTATTTGAGTTCTCAGCTACGCTCAGTAGTCAAAACAAGATTAATTAAAATAGCAGACAGTAAGTACTTGCAGGTGGCAACTCCAGACAAAGAAAACCAGAAGAATGTAACAGGAAACTCTTTATCATCCCAATAGTAACAATAGGAACCTTGTAATTTACTTGTATCACTTCTCATTTCAGATTTACTCACTGCTAAAATAAAAGAGCATCACTGTAGAAGTAAATTTGCATTTTCCAATAAGCCATGAAATGTTACATATTTTAAGAGTCAAACAGCAGAAAATTACTTTGTCAGAAAACATTTTAGACAATTTTGATAGCTCGTGTGCCAGCTTCCCTCTGCAGACTGATAACAGCAGGTAGCAGAAACGCCGCACAGCGTTCCTATATTCTGTAATTAACTTCAACACGAAGACTTCCAACTAGAAAGCAAAGCAGTCGAGAACCAAGTGTAACCATCGCCAGCTAGGGAGCAAGTTAAGTGAACGTTCGGACTGAAAAGGCCCGTCCTACCTTAGAGGCGTTGATGACGACGTTTCTAGCAGAACCGTGCTCATCTCCAGAGAAGGCAGGCTGATTACTGAAGCCCTGCTTTACATTCACCGCAGTAAGTTCGTCCTGCAGTGTCGCAAGGGTGAAAAATGAAACGACAGTTTAGGATGTCACATCATTCCGAGCAGCATGCTTTTATAAAGAAGTTTCATGTAATTGCCAGGCCCTCGCAGCTGAACAACCCTTGAAACGTACTGTGTGTTCACACGAATCTAGTGAGGGGAAACACCACGTTCTCCTGTTCCCATTAAGTGTTCTCCTCACTGCAGACCTCAAGGCCGTAACGCGGTAAGGACGCAGGCTGTGCTGCTGGAAGAGGACTGCTGCCCAGGGGAAGGCAGCAGAAAGCAAGGCCTGCTCTCCTCGCTTGGGCTGTCTGTGGCTCATCCTGAGGCCCGCTGTCAGGCAGCAGGGTCAGAGAGCAGGGCTGCTTGGGCAGGGAGCTTGGGCAGCTGGGGAGCCTGCAGGCAGCGCAGCCTGAGCACACGCTGGGGAGCTCACAGGGCCCTCCCTGGGAAGGCAGGACCTGCCATCAGCAAACAAACCACCTGCCCCAAAGGTGCTTCACCAGCTCCACAAGGTCAGGATAAAAGCAATCCCCGAGATTTCTAGCAGATTTATGGGGGGCAACCTATGGAAACAAAGAGCATCTGCCACGCCACCAAGTAAACAAGACAGGACAAAATAAAATATGATAGCATCTTCATTGGATTTCCTTACTTAGTTTTGGAAACGTGCATCCTCCAAAATAGCAACCCAGAAGCTTCCATTCATTTTACTCTCTTGTGCTTTGCAACACGCTTTGCTTTGCGGTACTTTCACAGAGTTTGGGAGCAACATAGAAGACAGCACTGTATTTAGAAGAAATTTCAGCCCTCTAGGGTTTAGGAAGTTAGCGAGCCTCATCTAAATTGTAAATGAAATCAACAAGAAGTGGTGGAACGCTCCTCCACCCACACTATCCCCAAGACAGCCTTGAAAACAGATGAATGCAGAGATGAAAACCATAAAAGAGATTATAAGCAAATAAATAAAAGGTAAATGGCAAACAGATGGAGGTCTGTGTTACTATTAGAACCATATCCATAGATGACCCCAGTTCTGCTATCTTTAAACTCCTACTTTTCTGAAAAAAGCTGTCTAGATATCACCATACTGAAAATAACCGAGAGCAGCATGTCCTACAGCTGCAACCACTGCTGTGGGAGCAAGCTGGGATGGGCTGACAGCACAAACACAGTGATGTTTTGGTTTTTTTTTACATTTGGCTCTGGTTATTAGTACAACTTCTCCTGCCTTCAGCAGGGGCTCAGAAATTTTAAACACGGAACACAGGACAGTTACAAACGCAAACACCAGCCAGCAAACAAACAGATAACACCACCTGGGAGCACAACGCGAAGAGTTCAGCTGAATGCTCACAGGAGCTCTCCCGATGTCTCACCTCACCGCATTAATGGGCTCAGGGTCATTATTTTCCAGCACAGCTGTTCCAGTGGAAGGCAAAACTCCCTACACAGAGCAGCAGCACAGCTAAGTAAGTATCCTTCCCTTGGCTGGATCTGCAAGTCCCTTCACAAGGACAAACACAGGAATGCCGCACGACGCGGCCCCTCACTATGCTGTGTGCACCAGACCCTCCTGGCTCCTGCAGGGACAGTGAGCTTCTTCACAAACATTAAGAAGGGTCCAACCAAGACCAGTCAAGGCTTAAAATGGTTCTGAAATTCAAACCGCCAAATAAACACGCAGACAGATGGTAAAAACCCAACAGGCAGCAAACAGAGCTCTGTTATCACTGTGGGACGAGTCAAACTGAAGAATTTTTCAAACACATTTTTGTCCCCCTCACCCCAAAACTTGGGGTGAAAGAAACCTAAGAGTTCACATTAGACTCGTGAAAGGAGTGCCGCGGATCTGAACGCAGCCGTTCCTTTTAGATGCACTCTTTGACCCCATCTCTGCCCCACATCTCTCCCACACGCAGGTCCCACTTTCAGCAGAGCCACAGAGACCTCAGCGCTGTGAGGAGGAGCTGGCACTGCGCCCTGCGCCCTGCATTGCCACCGCGGCCACGGAGCCCAGCTGGGCCGGGCCCGCACTGCTGGATGTTGGGTTTGTTCTGAGCAGCAGCCCCCTAAAAGGTATCCCACCAGTTACACACTGACAAGCAACCCGTGCTTCAAAAGAAGGAGAAGAAATTATCACACACAGAGGAGCGGTACCCCTAGATCCCAGCCGGCGCCGATGGGAGCCGCACACAGCCCTGCGCTGAGGCTCCGTCCCGCAGCCCGGCTCAGCTCACAGCAGCCCTGTGCGCCGGGCCAGGACCACGCGCAGAGACACCTATTGCAAAAGTACTTCTAACCGCTCAAACGCCAACTTTATTTCAGCACGACAGGCGCAGCAGCGTAAGGATGAAAAGCAGAAGGACGCTGGAGGGCAGAACGGGCAGAGGTGCCCCAGGGGTCGGCAGAGGGCTGGAATGTGCACATTTCTCTGCGTCAGCCCAGGCCGCTGCCAACACAGCCGGAGGGACGCCGGTCAGCCATCGGCCTCAACGGCCCGCTTTCCGGAGGTCTCAAAAGCAGACGGGCCAAGAGGGCAGCGACGAACCCGCCCTGCCGGACCGCAGCGGCCGCTCCTCCAGCCCCATCAGCCCGGCGGGTCGGGGCACGAAGGGAGCGCAGGGAAGCAGCGCGGGAGTGCAGCCCGGGGCAGGGAGCGGGGAGCGGCTGCGTGCGGCGGCCACGAAGGCTCCGAGATCCGCGCCGCCGCGCTCACGCGGCCCGACCCGAGGCCTCTCCCGGCCACCCGGAGGAACGGCGGACGGGAAGCGCCGCGCGCCGAGCCCTGCGCTCCGCGGACGCGCGGAGCAGAACAGCCCTCGTCCCACGCTGCGCGCGGCCCCCGGGTCCCCACGGCCGGGCCGCGGCACCCAGCCGCCCTCGCACCGGGCCGGGCCCCGCGGGCGCCGCACTGCGTTTGGAAGCGCGGTAGAAGCTCCGCTCGGGGCCGCGGAGCCCTTCGACCGCGGCCGCCTCTCCGCCCCGCCGCGCCAGCAGCCGCGGCCCCGCACGGCCCGGCCCCGTCCCACCCCCAGCTCGCCGCAGAAAATGCAAGTCAGCGGCGGCTCCGCAGCGCCCGACGCCGCTCAAAAGTTTCGGGGGAGGCGCCGGGCCGGGAGCCGAGGGCGGCGGCCGGGAGCGGGGCGGGCCGGGCCCCATGCAGCCGGCACAGCGCGGCACTGCATGGAGCGGAGCGGCACGGCACAGCACTGCATGGAGCGGCACGGCACGGCACGGCGCGGCTCACCTCCTTCTGGCGCGGGTCCTGCGGATAGACGTCGGGCGGCCCCAGGCGCGGCCGCTTGAGCGGTCTCTGCTCATAGCTGAGAAGCCCGAAGGCGGCCATGATCGCTCATGTTCGCCGCGCGGCGGGCGGGCGCTGGAGCGGGCTCCGAGCGGCAGGGAGCAGCACTCGGCGCTCGCCCCCCGCCTCAGCCCCCGCCGCGCCGGGGGTTGGGCTGCGCGCTGCCGCCGAGGCCGGGCACGGGGCGGGGGCGGCTCCGCTCCGCGCGCCTCGCGCCGGGCACGCCGCCCTGCGGAGCCGGCCGTGACACCGCCCCGGCCCTCCCGCGGCCCCGGGTGAGCGCTCCCGTGCCCCGGCCCGGCGTGCTCGCTCGCGGTGTCGCTCTCCCATTCGCGACACCGTTAATTTTAGCGAGCGAATAATTCGCCGAGGACGATCGATCGATCGCCGCCTCGGCCGGCTCCTGGCTCCCGGCCGGCAGCACGCGCCCGGCTCTGCGGCTCCCCGCGCTGCCCCGTCGCCTCCCCGGGAGGAGATCGGGCCCCGCCCCCGGCCAGGTATTGCGGCGGCACCCGGCGTGCGGCCCCGGCACGCGCTGTCCCGGCCCGGCCCCGCGGCTGCGGCACGCGCTGTGCCTCCTGCGGGCGGAGCGGCGCGCGGCTCGGCGCTGCCCAGGGCTCCCGCTGCCCCAGGGCCGGGCGGTGAGAAGGATGCCGGCAGAGCCGTTGGTGCCGGTTAACATCTCCGGAATAAAAGCGGCCGCAGCTTCAGCCTTAGGCTCCCTCCATGCCCCAGAGTCGCTTACCTCCCTCCCTGAAGCAGGACTGCGGCCTCTGTCCCAGTTTGCAGCGTGTCCTGCAGCACAGAGGCATCCTCCTCTCCCAGCTCAGGGCCCATCTTCCAATCCGCTGCGCTGACAGCCGCATTACTGCATCAGCACTGTAAAAGCACGGAAACTATTTTTCCCCTTTCTATCCACTGCTTTTACCAGATCCTCTCCTCGTGCTGCATCCCCAGGACAGCACACACACACAATGTATTTTAGAAACACTGGGTCAAACGGCGAGTTGCAAACAGTTCTGAATGCACTTAACAACAGTTCTCTACAAGTTAATTAAGAGATTACTATTGCCAAAAGCAGGAAATATAGGCAAACTACATTTCTTTGTCTCTAAGCAATTATATATATATATATTCAATAACCCAAGATAAATTAAAAGATGAAGCTAAATTAGGCAGCTCTGGTTTGGGACACTTTCCCAACAGCTCTTCTGACCGTACTTGGCCCAAAGCCACATCCCACAGACCAGCAGCTCCTCAATCCCACCAGCAGATAAATCCAGAACATCTCCTCAATGATGCTGGCATGCAGAATAGCAAAACCACTGTTGTGACCCCTAGCTTTCACAGAATCACAGAATTGTAGGGGTTGGAAGGGACCTCCAGAGATCATCGAGTCCAACCCCCCTGCCAAAGCAGGTTCCCTACAGTAGGTCGCACAGGTAGGCATCCAGGCAGGTCTTGAACATCTCCAGAGAAGGAGACTCCACCACCTCCCTGGGCAGCCTGTTCCAGTGCTCCGTCACCCTCACCTACAGAAGTTCTTGCGCACATTTGTGCGGAACTTCCTGTGCTGCAGTTTCCAGCCGTTTCCCCTCGTCCTGTCTCCACTCACCACTGAAAACAGTCTGGCCTCGCCATTCTGCCCCCCACACCTTAGATATTTATAGACCTGGATCAGGTCCCCTCTCAGTCTCCTTTTCTCAAGGCTGAACAGACCCAGTTCACTCAGCCTTTCCTCGTAGGAGAGATGCTCCAGGCCCTTCACCATCTTCGTGGCCCTCCGCTGGACTCTTTCCAAGAGATCCTTGTCTTTTTTGTAAGCTTTGGTAAGGTTCACATCATGCGTATTTTAAGATTAGGTGTTTGACAAAGTCTGGATGTATTCAAACACACGTCTCCATCTTCCAAAGATTTAGGTGAAGCAGAATGTCTGACAGCTGCTTACTAGCCCTCTGTTCTGTACTGATTTCCCTGTGCTTTACATGCTGTGTACTCTTGTCTTTTGAGCCTACAAACATCCTGGTCTGGAGCTTTAGTTTCTTCCTCCTCAAGAAGCACAGCAGTTGGACCCAGGTCAGCTGGCCCTGTTCAGAGGAACTGGCTTCTTGTTCATAGGAGGCTTCCTCAGAGTAATGATCCTTAGGAAAGACCCCTGCAGTTGCTGCTTTGGGGATTTTCTAGCATGTTCTGTGCCCTGTAACACTCGTGCTGCAGAATGCCTCAGGAGCATTCCCAGTTCATTCATAAAAGCATGGAATTTTCAAAGGCATAAAATACTGCTGCGTTTGAAAACGCCACCAGAAGGCTGAATCGTGACACAAATTCAGCAGCAATATGACTGCAATGAGATTATTTATTTCCCCCATTAAATTCTTCCTACGAACCTGTTAGATATATACACATAGGCTCAGGTCTTTGCTCTCGTTGCTATTTTGTGTGATAGCTGTGCCTAAACGTTGCGGTCCCTCTTCAGGCAGCAGTCAGCGCGCTCTGCGCGTCCCCATCACCGTTCCCAGCCTCCCCTCAGCGCCGAGCACAGCGCCATCTCCCGGTTACTCGCAATGATCACAGCTTTAAGCTCGGCTTAAATAATCGTTTACCTGCACACCGCCTTGCTTCCTTTTAATTCTATGGAGTGTTCCTGCTGCAGACAGGCATACAGGTAACAAACCACCCCTGAACTGATCCGATCAGAGAACGGAAAGGGGGAAAAAAACCAAAGCCCTGTTTGGCTCCAAGCGTGGGGCCGATCAGCTCCTGGGGGACAGCGGGCACAGGACAGGCGCCGGGCCCACGCCACGTGAGCACGCACGCAGGAGCCGCCGGGTGCAGGTGGGGTCACCCGGCCCAGCCCGAGCTCCGTGCTGCCTTCCCTTGCACTGGGGCGGCTGCCGTAACGAGCAGAGCAGCTCGGCACCGCCGGCTCTGAGGGATTCCCAGCACACAGAGCCCTCTGAAAGCCTCCCTTCTGCACGGCCAATAGCTCAACGGGCAGCCAAGCCCGGCCCTGTCACAGCCTGCCCAACCAGACAGCCGGGCAGCGGAGCGCTCGTTGAATTACACGTTCCTCGTTACCTTACTCCTCCACTATCAAGTGACACCGAGGACGGACCGCATCGCCCCGCACTCCGATCGCGGCTCAGTTAGAGGAGCTGCAGGAGGATGGGGAGGAGCGCACGCTGCCGGCGCCTCCCGGCGATGGGCACCGCGGCAGCCCCCCGCTGAGAGCGCAGCCCGCGCAGCGCCATGCCCGCCCCGCAGAAGAAAATCCTCTTCTGCCTGGCTGGGGCGTTCAGCTTCGTGTGCGCCCTGGGGACCGCAGCCGCCATCGGCACCCAGCTGTGGGTGAAGGGAACCATCCTCTGCAAGACGGGCGCGCTGCTGGTCAACGCCACCGGGCCGGAGCTGGAGAAGTTCATCGGGGAGATCCGCTATGGGCTCTTCCACGGCGAGCGAGTGAGGCAGTGCGGGCTCGGGGGGAGGCCCTTCCAGTTCTCATGTGAGTAACAGAGGCGCCTAAATGACTGAATGCTGCTCGGGGCTGGGAGGACCGACCCTGTACCTCACAGGGCTCAACAGGAGAAAAATGCTCTAAAGCCAAATGCTGCTCTTCATCTTTTAGTTTTCAGCTTTAAATTACTTTTTCTTTTCCTGACACTAGCAAAGCTTGCTAACATTTTCAGCAATCTATGTTTCGATTACAGTCATTCACATTTGAAAAATATATATGCTATTACTTTGAATAGTTTTGTTTTCCAATTAATCTTTGTCATCCTCCTGTGTGTGCCAATGCCACGACCTCTGTTCTGTTACGAAAGACAAACTAAGCTAGCAGGAATCCCACAAAGGAGCTGAGGCATAGGTGCACACTGCTGCTGAAACAAAGCAGCCAGAAGTTTGCAGTCTGCAGTACAGACTGAGAACTGCTCACCTGTTACTGACTGACATTCAGTCAACTGATGTGCAAATTGAGCTTGGTACCCAACATACCAAATTTTACCAAAGATTGTTAGAAATGGTTTCGCTTTACACGTGATGCTCATAACCTCTCATCCCTAAGGATAAGGTCGATGGAATGATGCAGGAAAGACAGTTTGCCTTTAGCAGCTCACAGTCACCTCCTACAACATACCCTGCATGCCACCCGCAGTTATTACAAAACACATTTTGGGAGCAATCTGCTAAAACAGCTCCAAGAAGTACTCTGGTGAAGTTTACCCTCACTGTAGCTGTACACTTTTCATCTCTGCTC